AAGCGTACACCTGTCTCCTCGCTTCCTGTGCACAGTCTAACGCATAATCCAGTCCTCCACAATTAAGAATTGTGAATGAGAGATGACCGTGTCTGCAAAGATCAATTTACCGAAAGCTTAAATGCAGTAGACAATACTTACATTTTTATAGGTTTTGTCCAAATAGCTATAAACGAACACTCGTCAATACTCTGTTTTTTTGAGAGTAGGTAGAATACGTCCCTTCCAAAAAACTGGAGGAAACATTTTTCTTCCTCGGAAAGAAGCAGTAAAACAACGGTTACCCCCCATAAACGTTTCAGCAAGTTAGGAAGATGTGAAGGTTCCAGCGACAAAAAAGCAATCACACTGAAGAGAAGCCTATCTTCGTTGAGCTCGATTTCAGAGACGATAATATTGCAGGAATAAGTAAACAGAAGATTGAATACGTTACTAACCAGTGCTCTTGTCCTGTTTGTCGGTGCAATCCAAGGTCTACAGGTACCCTTCTCAAGTGAACTCTAGCTGTGCATACAAATTAATATGTGTATAAGGAAGTAGTTGCATTGGAAGAACAGAAAGAGGAGCACTTTTGATTTTCTGAACGTTCACCGGAAATCCCACCTCTTGAGGTAACAAACCCTTACAATGGTACCATTGCCAGATATTCTCTTTAAACTTGTAGTATCTGGGTATGAATTAAATAAGTGTAATGTGTGATCAATGTTTATTACGTTTCGAGTCCGCTGTCATTAACTGACATCACTTAACATTAGCAGGCTGTATCCAGTTCACGTGAAGTCGACGAGACAAACAATGACAGCATTTTATTCTAGATAAATTGTTATTCATAAATAGAAATAAGTGTTTGAAATTAGTGAAAAAAATAACGTCGTTGCGAAAAGAAAGGAAGCGTCTATTTAATAATGAATAAACACATGCAAATATATTCACAAATTTTTTTCAAAGTATGCGATATAAAAAGGCATATCATTTCATTGATGTTAATCGGTGAAGTAGACAGATTTCAATTAGAATACTATCAACGTCATACATTTAAATTAATCTTTAAAAAATCTAATGGAAATACAGAGAAAAATTGACAAAAGTGACTAGGTTATCCAAAAGGGTATAAATTTCAAATTTGATGTTACACTTTACAGACAAGTGAATGGGTTGGCGATGGCCTTCCCATCGGATACCATTTAGGCAGATTTCTTTCCAAGTCAACTAGAAAATGGATCTGTCAACAACTTTATCAGAAAACCCTCATTTTATTACCAGTATATAGATGACAACTTTATTCTTTGTGATATAGGTTCTGATAGGAGAACAATAACAATTCAATTCAATGAAGTACATTCTGCTATGAAGTTCACGTGTGAAGAGGAATCCCGAAACAGAATAGCCTTCCTGAATGCTACCCTTACAAGATAACCAGATGGTAATATAAAGAGAAATTTGAATAGAAAAAGTACTTGGATAGGACAATATACACATTTTCACAGCTTCATTGCTATCAAGTAGAAAAGAAATTTAGTGAAGACCCTCAGTCACAGAGTTAGAGCTATATGCTCAGAAGAAGTAACTGAAGATGAACTAAGAAGTGTATATGATACCTGGATTGAAAATGGCTATCCCAACAAATGTATTAAGAAACACATGTTAAATAAAGCGGAAAAGGACCACTCGCTATCTGCAAACAAGAAGCCACTTTATATACGCCTGTAATTCAAGGGCGATCAACCTAGCGAAATAATTACGAAGAAGTTAAGAAAATCAGTTCAAGGAATTTTTAATGCTGGCAAATTAAAAGTCTCATTTTCTACACGATCAGTGATGATTTCTCAACTCAGCTATGAAGTACCTAGACTAGGCAATTCAACTGTGCTTGTGGTGGAGCGAGTTATATTGACCGTCGCTCTAGGCATTTGATTTTTTGTGCCCGAGAAAATCTCCCAGTATGGCTAAGTAAAGGTGTAGTGAAAACCAATAACAGTTCGATATTGGACGATCTAGTGCAAACCGGCCACAGAGCCAATATTGAATGATCCTTCTTCACAATCATCATCTCTCAGGTGTCTAATAAATTGCCAAAAACATCGAAGCACCGCATGCTCCAAACAGCAGAGGCTATTACAATTCGCCTCAAACAACCAGTGCTCTGTGTTGAAAAGAAGTAAGTCCAGCCCCTACTACTGCGATGGCCTTCAGTAGAAACTAAAAACTCATGAATTTGTAATATTATCTTTCCTAATTTTTCTGACATTCAGCTTATTTTATGTTGATGCTATTGAGCTGTATTTAATCTATCAACATTATTGATTCGATGTTATTTAAACAACATTAATGTTTTGTATACAAATTGGTGAATGATGGCTAGCAGTGGAGTCCCAATTAGGACGAAATGCGCATCCTGGATTCCACTGCTAGCCACCATCCACCAATTGTATACAAATCAAATCCCCAGACATCGTCGAAGCAGCTGCACAAGAAGCCGACATGTCAACCTGAGACCGAGCACTTCGGTCCAATCAATCGACGGGAAAATCAAGAATTCAATTCAACATTAATGTTGTTCATAACACTAATTCACTCATTCACTTTAATGTATATATAACTGTAGAGCCTGATGAAGATCAGGTTATCGAAAAGAGTACTCTTTCTTCAGTATCCATCCTTTTAAAAAATGCACAATTGTTTAAAAATTAATCACCAGCATAATAAACATTTTAAGACACCTTAAAATAGGCCACTATCTGTCTTAAGAACACATAACATGCAACTATTAGTAATTGAGATTTTTGACTAGAATAAACACTAGAAATCTTATCCAACTAATTTTACAAAAAAAGGCAAAATACTATTCAATATTGACTGCTTAGATGTCTACGAAAAGTACATTTAAAAGTAATGAGAAGAAATGCAATTGAAAGGATAATCGATAGACAGTGTACATGATAGAAAGTAATTAAAAAAAAGAGAATCACTGAACTATTTCGGCGTAAGCATATCTAACAAAAAAAGTGAACACCATTTGTATGTCTTGAAACATTTTCCTCAGTGAACAATTTATATTACAATACACCACTCAGGATCTACCCTACCCTATCCTCAAGGGTTGAACCGACGGCATTCTGGTAACAAGGAGAGCTCGTAGACATTCGGACCGGATTAACTGGTCAGTCTAACTTCTAGAAATTCGTGATTTTATCGAGGCTATCAATCAGCTAGTGTCATTGGTGAGCATTTCTCTTTACGCTCAACCTAATGGAGCCTACTGATCACGATTTCTCTATAGAACTCCAGTCACCTTTGTCTTATATGCTACCAGTCAGTGACAAGCGTCAAATCAATTTTCCAGAGTAGGTTTGTAAGGATTTGATTTGTTTTTTTATGTTCTGAAAACAGACTGATATCAGTTAGAGGGTTACTGGACAGCTGTTTCGCCTTAGTCTGGGACTCAACGGCAGTACGCATCCACCGGGTTCGAGATTTGATTGCTCTGGTTACCAATAAATTTCCACCCAAGAAATTGTTTGTGTGTGTGTGTGTGTGTGAGAAATTGTTAACGATGCAGTGATAAAGATATAACGGATATTATTTTTTTATATTTCGTGTTGTCGGGTTCATTGAACTTGATGAGAACTTAATTGGGAAGCCAACATTATCCTTCTAGGAAACATCTTCGTTTAAAAGTAAGTTTTGACGATCTTATCTAGAAGGATACTGAATACCTCTCAGTTAAACTATCCAATGTAACACCAAATATATCCACCTAAGTGATGAATTATCGATTTATACTGTTGAATCTATTAATTTAAGTTTGATCACGAATTAACATCAGTTAGCAGACTGTTGAAAACCATCAGGGAGTACTGAGGAGCTACTTCGTCCCTGTTTGAAACTCTCCATCACTACGCACCCAAAAGGCTTCACTCCAAGGACTTTCTGGCTGCAAGGAAAGCTCGTACATGATTCAAACACTAAGATCTCATTCAGTGGGGCTAAAAATCACAATTTGGTAGAAGTTGAAAATTAATGTAAGTGTCGAACTTGGATACTGTGGTAGAATGTAATTCCATATTAGATAGGTTTGCTTTAAATATCCCACAGAGATCAAGTATTACCATCTGAATGACGTTGCAAGCATAGTTAACTGCTCATAACCATATCAGTTTAGTCACACGGTTTCATAGTTTGTCTTGAATTTATATATATGTCGTCAAATGCTTCACCACTGTGTAATATTTAAAATAAGCTTGTTTCATATAGAACTTGAAATCCATGGGCTGGCTACTAAACCCAACCCCACCGGCCGATTTACCTGCGAGCCTGGATTGTCACCAGAAGGCACTTGGCTCGAACTCCAGTGAATGCCTGCCATCAAAGAGTCCAGAAGTAGGACGAAACGACTGTCCAGTACTCCCTGGTTTTCCAATGGTCTTGTAAGCGATATCAATTCATGATCAAATCCCTGTAAACCAATAAGTGAATATCAATCTGATGCCCACTAGTGAGTGACCCTATTCAAGTAGGCAGTTACCTGGGTTCTAATGGGAAGTCGTAACCAGTGAGTGGGGTGCAGCAGGTCAGGTGTGAAGACAAATGCTTCCCACCGATGACATTCGACACAAGGTGGCATCAAATCATGAAGTGGGAGAAGCTGGAATCCATGGACTGACCATTGGATCAGACCGCATTCGCCTAATGGTCTAAGAGATTGTCTTGTAACCAGAAGGTCCTAGATTCAGACTTCTGGGGGAGGGTGTACTGTGAAGAGTCACAAACTAGGACGAAACAGCTGTCCAGAAAGATGGATGTAAATATAATAATCACCAGTTATGTGTTAATAAGGTCATGTATATAAATGTGGATAAACTACTAATAAAGCCTGGTGTTAATTTTATTTTCAAGTGTCAATTGAAATTATCATTGTTTGTTTGCATTAGGCAAATTATATAGGGGTAGAACTAATAAATAAAATTAATTCTGTTTTATTTATAAATAAGCAATCTTACCGGAAAGGGATTATATTCAGCATAAATTGCCATACCCTGTGGATTTATATAATCATAATAATATATATACATAAAACTAATTCACATAAGAAAAAAAGCAAGACAAAGATGGATACACCTCAAAATGATATTCACAGTCTGTATATATATACGCGATGTACACAGTTCAAGGGGGTTTCCATTGGAAACAGAAACTATTCAGATCACGACGCTATATGATCTGATGCTTGATGCCCTCCATAAATGGTAGGCAAAGAAGCGAGCATGTTTGCATAAAGCTTTATTCCACTGACTCATCAAGATGATTAGTTGTAGACCACAACTGATTTCAACCAGATAAGTGCTTGTAAACTGCAAAACAAATTAGACCTAAGGCAATACCGGTTCGTTTATGTATCTAGCTAGAAATTTGGTAGTTTCAACTGTCTGCCCTCTCTGAGCTAAATTAAACCCGGTACATTGTGGATGAGCTCGACGCTGAACAAGCAAAACAGCTCTCCAAATTTTGCACCACCTCAATCTGGGTAGCAAACAAGCATTTTTATGAGAAACACTTTCCAAGTCATTACAGGAAAACCTTTCTAAAGACACAAAGTTATTGTTACTGGGGAGAAGTTTTTAAACAATTGCGTTGCACATTTTTAAGATGGTTACAAATATCTAACTGCTAACGCTTTCTACATCTGTGACGAAATTTTAAAGTTTACATTTGTAAATGTCCAGACAGTAATAAATGTGTCATGCATTAGATTTTCCATGATTAGTGGGAACACATTAAAAAAGAATACATATATATTGTCTGTAGGCGAAAAAAGCCTCATGCTTTTTATATTTCACGGTTTTTTATTCAACAGTTGAAAGTTCGAATTTCAAAAAATTACGTAACCTGTTATCACTCCATCATACTTCAGAGCTATTTCAAATCAAACAGTGTTCAATAATTCCCAACATACACCAACGGAATAGGGCGATCTGTTGAGGTTTCAAGAAATTCTTCTTCAGACTCTACATTTCTAAGTCCAATAATTTTAGTATATAAAAAGTGTCAGTTAAGGTGAATTAGAATTGTGTGAAAGTCTATTATGTGTGGTACAAGTACAACATGGAATAATAGTCAATTAGTTTTGAGTGATCAATTAGAATATGTTTACTTAATAAGCACATGGAATGAAATGAGATGAAATAATTGAATGATGTATGTAGTTAGTCGAACTCTTACAGCCTTTTCATAACGAGTTGGTGAAACACAGTGCTGTGAAGGATACTTTTCGATTTGTTGAAAGGATAAAAGATTTAAATATTGACAATAAATTCATGATATCATCTGACGTAACTTGCTTATTCACTGATATACCACATATGGAAACATTGGACTTTGTATGCGAGGAACTCATAAGATAAGACATCAGTGTTTGCATTCCTATATTTTTATGGAAGAGGTTCTCTTGAAATGTACAATGTATGTCCACCTTTTATTTAATAAGAGACTATATAGACAAATTGACGGTGTGGCAATGGGGTCACCACTAGGACCCATTCTAGCTGACATTTTCCTTAGGGAAACTGGAAAATGGGTCATTAACGGATGTTATTGACGAACTCGAATTCTATTATCGGTACATGGATGATACATTTTCCATTATGAAAAATGAGAAGGAAGCAAAGAACATCCCGGATAAATTTAACGCGGTTCACACTGCAATAAATTTTACTATTGAGAAGGAAAAAGACAATAGTATTTCATTTTCAGACGTCCTTATGACCAGAAAAGAGGATGGCGCAATAAGAAGGAGTGTATGTAGAAAACCTACATCGACGGGTAAGTACACACATTTTTTCAGCTTCGTGCCATTGAAATACAAACTCAATCTGATAAAGTGCTTGGTTTACAGAGCAACAGCGATTCGCTCGGCTGAATGTCTTGATGAGGAACTTGATAATGCTAAACGGTTGTTGAGTGAAAATGGTTATCCAGAAAAGTTTACTGATAAGAATATGAATATAAAATCAAAGCAACCCAAGGTACCAGCAGTTCTAATAAAGGCCTTATTCTTACAAATACAGTTCCTTGGAGACAACATCAGCGAGATACTAACACAATGTCTTAGAAATGTGGCAAAAGGATCATTCCCTGCTGCCGAATTACGCTGTGTCTTCAGAACCACCCGTATTTCGCGTTCGTGAGTAAAAGGTAAAATGCCTAACTTCGTCTCTTCCATGTGTATCTACCAATTTAACTGCTCCGGTGAAGTGAGCCACTTAGTTGCATAGGCCGTACAATCAGGCGTGTTTCTCGTCAGATTTCTAAGCATCACACTTCATAGTGGTTATGTAAAGGAAAAACAAAATCTATTCGTAGCGCTATTCTATCTCATCTTGTGGACGCAGAACATAAGATTGACGTTAACCATGCTTTCAGGGTCATTTACCGCATACGTACGAATCTCAATTTTGCCTTAAGAGTTCGACCACTAAATATTGCCGAGGCTGGTTGTTGGGATCCACATTAAGAATCCTAATTTGTGCGTTCAAAAGAAGTTAGTTCAGACATTATCCTTACCTTGGCCATCTAGATTCGAATGATCCTCATTTTTTTTAGAAATTTCCCTAATTTTAGTTGATATTCTGTTTGCTATTATATCATTATTATTATTATAATTTAAGCATCTTTAATGAACCGCAATTCCATCGATCTTGCTTTACAAATCGATTTTATTTAACAGACAATAATATTGTTATTGACTACTAATCTAGAATATTCTATGTGTATGATTGTAGAGCCAGAACAGGAATTTATAGAAAAGGATATTCTTTGCTCAGTCATTTGTTTTTTTTAATAAAAATACATGTCTTAAGAGTGAGTTTAGTCAATATTGTGTGAGACGGTATGAGTACTGCGGAGAAATAAACCAAAAAATGGGATACGCTGAGCGAAAGTTCACGGGTGACAAACAGTAATAATAATGATGATAAAATAATGACGATGGTTCGGTGTAAATATCAAAGTATAACGGTAGAAGACGGGAGACTTGGTAACGCAGCGTTTAATTAGCTATTCAATATCTCTATGTAGCGAAATTACGTACACTTTATCGTCGATGCATTGTTTGCACAGATCTTACATGCTATCCTAATTCTGGCCTTCATATTGTGTTTCTTTGTGTTTCCCTTTTCACTTCTCCCATGTATCTCCGCAACGCTGCGTCATTCACTTTCTCTGACGTCAAGCCTATCGCCCTGCTATTCGATGTTTTTATGCTGATAAACGTCTTCTCATATACTACTCATAAATCTTATCAGTAGCACACATCACAAAAATACATAATAAGAAAGGTCATGAAGTAATTAGAAGGTCTGGAGCAAAAGTTCATCCATGAAACGAAGGTAAAATAAGGCAAAAAAATGGGATAAGAATTTTAAGTACTGATGTTTATGGAGGATACTACGATCCTTATTGTAGACCAAGGCAAGCATGGCGCTTGAACATACTTCTTTATCTGTAAACAGGAAGTAGATCTCCTGGTATTGACTAACACTACCACAGATACTGACTGGAGACATAGACCAGCTGCTCTAGATAGATTAACAGGAACATAATAGACAACTGGGAACACCTGCTATAGCTTTTCTGAATGTTCAATGCCTACCTAGTGGGTTAAGACTACACTCTTTAGGCATTTGGTTTTCTCTTTACCCAACAATACTCAACAGTGCACATCGATAAAGCCCTCTGAATACCGCCAATGTAAATAACTCCACATGAGCAGTTGAATTCATAGACGTACACTAGCGAGGCTGTCATTGGTGATTTATCCTTGATTCAATGTGTAAGTACTAGTTTAGTTGAATTATGTCATCTCATTTTATCTAATTTTCATTATTGACAAAACATATTCTAAATGATCACACAAATAACAATAATTTTTCCTTCACGTTCCCAGTGGAACATAGGGCTTCAAGCCAGTGGCTTGAAGTTTCTGTAGCAGTGTTTATTTTTATAGGATGGGGTTGCTAGCCTCATTCCAAACCTTTCCTCTTTAGCAGTCTCATTATGAGTTTAGCGAGGTAAAGGAGTGCGTCAGCCGGGAATCGAACCCCGGACCATGGGCATGGTCGGCGAGCGTCCTAACCGCTGTGCCACCGACGCTGTGCCACCGATCACATAAAACTAACTGACTATTATCTTGTACCTATACCACACTTTCACACTAATATATGTGTTAAACTAAGGCATTGTGGTAGTAAGTAATTTCATACTAGTTTGTTTATTAGATGTATTACACAGTCAGTGAAACAGCATTATTATTCACTGGATGACACAGTTTCAAACATAATTTATTATTGTTCATAATCACTTCATCAATTATAATCATACGACTTCGAAACTTGAGTTTTATAGTTTTATTTGTCCTCTTCTATTTGTCATCGTAGGGGCAGTGGAAGTTTTCAGATATCTGGGACATGTGTCGAATCATTCCTATTACACATGTTTTCAGTTGACTTGATAAACAAAGCTTCTGTTATCAATCTCTCCTTCCACTTACCTGTTACATTAGGTTTCAAACCTGTCACTACATACAACAGGATGTATGCATTGAGTGCTATAGCTGAACTATTCTCTAGATTTCTTATCGTATTCAGGTCAACCAATCTAGATTTCCTTGTCAGGATTTTATGTTCGGCTAGTCTGACTGCCGCTGTTCTACTAGTTTGACCTATGTGTTATTTGGTCTGACCATCATTGTTTATCGAATCAGCTGCAAATACATGTGTAATAGGAATGATTCAACACATGTCCCAGATATCTGAAAACTTCCACTGCCCCTACGACGACATATAGAAGAGGACAAAGAAAGCTATAAAACTCAAGTTTCGAAGTCGTATGATTATAATTGATGAAGTGATTATGAACAATAACAAATTATGTTTGAAACTGTGTCATCCAGTAAATAATAATAATACTGTTTCACTGACTGTGTAATACATCTAATAAACAAACTAATATGGAAACCTTTCACACATAATTCTAATTTACCTTTACTGACACTTTTATTCACTAAAATTATTGAACTTATAACTGTAGAGCCTGAAAAAGAAGAAGAGGAATTTACTGAAACCACAACAGATCGCTCTATTCCATTAGTGTATGCTGAGAATTACTGGAAATTGTTTGATTTGAAATAACTTTTAAGTATTGTAGAATGAAAACAGGTTATGCAATTTTTTTAAAAATTTAGACTGTTACTCGTTGAAAAAAAGCCTTGGAGTCAGTAGTCAAAAAGGAAAAAAAATTGCCGCAATCTTTAAAATTGTGAAATTCTGCTAATTCATTGCAATCTCATTACGTCTCCAGTTACATTAGAATTGGTCGAAGATTCGATCTACAGGCCTATGCACACACACGTGAACGTCCCTTAGCCGGAAGTTATTCCGGTGAACAGAAAAGGTTGTGGAGCGTAAGGTTAGCAAACCTCCCTCACTGTAAAAGACAGAATCAAATAAAAACCATCGTTGCTGTAAGTTCAAAGCACCAACTTGAAGCCCAATGTTATCAATCATAATGCAAATGTATGAAATGAATAAAATACTGATGTATTTTGATTATATAAGCAAATAAACCTACCGCAGTAAGCGCTCTCCACAGATCTTCATGGACAGTATTTTTATATTTATTCTGATACAGGTAATTCTTTCAGAAAATAAAGTAATAGAAAGCAAAAAAAATGATTGCAGCATATCATAAATTAATTTATATATACACTATACATATAATAAAGACATCTTAGATATGTTTGCATAAACAATTGATTGTAGGAAATGCTATTGCTTTTATAAGCATTTTCAATTTCATTTTGATTGCATCTTTATTCTTTCTTAAAATATGACTGCTATAACAGAGTGTTTTCAATAAAAGAGATTTAGACACTATAGAAATAAATATTTATTTTCATCCTATATATTGATTAGATGTTAAATAAACGTAAAATAATTACACATCATCACATGCTTCTGTAAAACATCATTATATTATTATAATTATTTCCTTTAATTCCTAGAGGAACATACGGCTTCAACTACACATCTCCGTTGCGTTCGGTTCTCTGCTAAAGTTTTCACCTGACTCCAAGTCTGCCCACGTGCTTTCATCACCTCTTCACATGACCTCCTCCAAGTAACCCTTGCACTGACGACCAACTCGCCGCTTCCCTTTCGGCCAGGTTCCACTCGAGCGATGGCTTGTCTAGTGATGTCACTTGATGGTTTCATCAGAGTATGACTAGCCAATCCACCTCCATTTCTTATTTGTTGCACAATCGGTTCCTGGTTGGTTTGTTCGCTCATTGCCAGAGATCCCTGTTGCTGATCTTTTCTGGCTGGTCATCTGATCTTGAGTATTGAACGAAGACAACTGTTAACGAAGGTCTGTAGTATTTTGTTCGAGATGCTCTTTATGATGCCTCAAGTCTTTGATCCGTATACTGAGTAGTACTGACTTTATATTGGAGTTGAAAATCCGGATGTTATTTTTGATGCTAAGTGGTGTTGACCTCCACACAGACTTGAGAGTAATGAAAGCCTGTCTTGCTTTCCTGATTCTCTTTGCTTTGATATCCTCATCAAATCTGCTTGTAGTTGGAACGATGCTTCCCAGATAGGCAGGTAGGTAAGGGAGGTTGCTTCTTTCAGGCTTCTCCCATTTATGCTGATTGTTTTCTGTTGTTGTTGGCCAGGAATCTTCATCACCTCTGTTTTATCTATGTTCACCTGAAGTCCTATCTTTGATGCTTCTTCTTGTTGCTTTCCACTTGTATATCTTCCAGTTTGTGGGAAATCAGACATATATCATCGGCGAAGTCCATACCCTCCACGTTTTTCGTTAGGGTCCATTTTATTCCTGTTTCCTCATTGCCCGCTGTCCGTCACATTGTCCAGTCTACCGCTCACAGTCAGGAAAATCACTGGAGATAGTAGACAGCCAGCCATCCAGTCTTGTCTTACTTCCGTCTTCACTTCGAAGGATTCCGTGAGTTTCCCGCTGTAGATTACTTAAGGTGCGGCGTTGTCATACAATTGTTGGATGAGATGTATAATTGTTGGCTGCAGCCCGTAGTAGGGAAGTAGTTTTCAAATCACCTCTCAATCGACGCTGTCTGCCAAAGGCCTTTTCAAAGTCGATGAAGTTGAGTGAGGTAGAGAGGTGACTGCCATTCCAAGCTCTGTTCACTGATGATCCGCAGTGTGGAGATTCGATCAACACAAGACTTGTTTCTCCTGAATTTAGCCTGTTCCGGTCGAAGTGTTTCATCCAGGGCTTGTTTGATTCTCCCCAGGATGATGTGGATTAGTATTTTGCTTGGGATGGACAGGAGCATAATTCCGCGCCAGTTCTTGCATCGACTTAAGTCTCCTTTCTTTGGCAGTTTTGAATAAGTAGCATTTAATTGAATATTATTACGGTCTATTTAAAATGACGTTTGACAGTGACAGACGTAAACAGTGGTCATAAAATATAATTTCAAATTTCTTAATGTTAAACGTTTTCCTCATCTTTAAGGTGAATATCTCATGTTTTACGCGCTTACCTTATTCGTCAAGAAACATATGACATCAGTGACACCACACAGATGGGAGTTATCTCATTTCATCAAAGTTCACTGCTAGCTAACAACTCTTGTAGTTAAATTTGCTTGTGACAGTCTATATTTCTTAATTTACATACCTGTTAAGAAGTAATAGGCAAGATTTGAACAAGTCAAAAATATATTCCTAAGCTTCATACCGCATAGGTTGCAAAAACTGTCACTGATCTGAAGTATGGCAAATCTAGAGGACCTGATAGAATGACTCCAGAGGTACATAAGTACTGTGGAGACAGTTTATTATCTACTTTAGTTAAGGTACAAGGTAGCGTCTGGGAGTCAGAGGAAATCCTGTCGAGTAGGTGTGTAAGTCTTCCTGTGATAATCACCGGGGAATTAGCTTGACCAATATGGTCTCTAAAGTTCTAGGCACAGTAATCACGCGTAGACCAAGTGATGCTTGAGAGAAACAAACATGGGAGAAACAGGTAGGCTATCCACCATAAAGATTGTGTATTGATCAGATCTTCACTCCTCAACAGATTCTAGAACATAGGCATACTTATCGAAGTCCAACAATCGTCATATTTCTTGACCTGAAAGTGGCGTTAGATTCTGCTGACCGACAGGAACTACGGAGATGTTTGTCTATGAAGAGAATGTCAAGAAAATACATCGCATTCATCAAAGCACTCTACTGGTACTCATACAGGCAGATAAGAGCCTATGCAGACTTTTATTTGAAGTGATTACAACCAGTGGTGTCCGTCAGGAATGCCTATTGTCCCCAACTCTGTTTAATTTCATCACAGAGGTATTAATAAACTTAGCTCTAACCGACTGCAACGACTCAGGGATTGGCTTGTTACCGGGATAAAGTCTTGTTGAATAAGAATATGCATGCGGATGTTATAGTCCTTCTGGAGGAAGAAGCTGACAAAATACAGTCTTCATTACACCTAGAGGAGCAATTTTCGGATATATGGGACATGACTCGCTCTAGACAAATGAAAGATATGGCTTCAGGACTGTACCATATAAAGGCCTAACTGGCTAAAATATAGAACGTAGAGTGGTAGTTAATATCGACTACTTCGCTTATTTGGGCAGTTGACTCAGTTAGTGGCAGCGGGTTGATCCCTCGCGAAATATCACCACGAATACAGAAGGCTCATCTCGCATATGCAAACCTACGCCACCTCTGGTTTATTAGACCTGATATGCCCCTATCGACCAAAGGCCGTGTGTACTGCTCATAAGCAGTTCGCTTCGTCCTCCTTTACGGCTGGCTGTCAGAGACACATGGCCGTTGAAAGTGGAAGAAATGAAAAGTCTGTCTAGTTGTCTTTCATCATAGATATCTGTCTGTCTGCATTCTATCTCCCATGTCAAGTGATATAATAGGGTGAGCAATATTGAGATTAGGCATCGATCGAGTACTAACCTAAGTATCATTTGGCGGGTCTTTGAAGTTACATCGACTGAGATGGTAAAGACATGTGTTACGCATGCATCCATAGCCACATTGCCTTCCTCGACCTACGGGAAATATCAGCTGACGTGGGATAGATCACGTTGCAAAAAAGAGTTATTTAGTAGTGGTGAAACCAAAACATGGGTTCATCAGTCATTGAAATTCATAACAGTTAGTTTAACTAGCCACATAGGAAGGTTTAGACTTTCTGTCTGTTTGGGATCCTCAGGATGGTAGAAGCCAATGTAGGCTGAAGACAACTGGTGATTTAGCTAAAAGTCGCTCTCAATGGCTGGCACAGATGCATCCACTCCTTGTGATTTATAATATCAAATGAAACTGTATGGTTCTTTTATATTATTATTCCTTTTGCCTTATATCTCTGTTTACTGTCTCTGTTTTGCATTTCTTTTTACTTTCGTCTGTTGGTTTGTGTGTAAAGTGAAGTGTGGCGACTCGAACTTCTGTACAGCTGTGCAAAGTTCTATGTTGATACCAGTCAGTCACTCAGTCAATTTACTAATCTGCTTCTGTTATTTCAGTTGATAGTGTAAGTCGGAATAATGCAATGTCGTTTAAGTGTTTATATACGTTTATCAGATTGGCTAGTGAGCTTATATCGAAACAATAGAAAAAGGAATCATCAGAAAAATTCATGCATTCTTCGACTGTTAGTGATAATCATCAGTCTTGGAATAAGGTCACATTTTATTCAGTATACAAGTAAATTGATGGATTTTCGGTACAGTAGCGCATTGTTTCAATCCTTTAATTTACAAGACTGAAATTTTACCTGCAGATGTTGCTTATCTTTGCAACAACAAAAAAAGAATGTACAAGCGACAGAATATTTTTCGTTGGTCAGTGTGTAATCATACAAGTATTCTCTTATAATTGCTTAGTAAATAAATTAAGTACCTTTTAGATAATCAGTACTGTTCTACTGAGGAACGTGAAGAAAAAAAAAACTGTTACCAAATTAACTTACCCTAGTGTCAGCTGAAGGTATTTCAGCTTTTTATGAAGATAGCAGGTTATACATCAAATTTTATAGGAAATAAACGTGGTATAAACTAACTGATTGGTTTCAACACAAAACTTTGCACAGCTGTGCAGAAGTTCGAGTCGCCACACTTCACTTTACACACAAACCAACAGACGAAAGTAAAAAGAAATGCAAAACAGAGACAGTAAACAGAGATATAAGGCAAAAAGAATAGTAATATCAAAGAACCATACAGTTTCATTTGATATTATAAATCACAAGGAGTGAATGCATCTGTGCCAGCCGTTGAGAGCGACTTTTAGCTAAATCACCAGTTGTCTTCAGCCTTCATTGTTTTTTACCATCCTGAGGAACCCAAACAGCCAAGCAGTCTGCACCTGCCTATGTAACTAGCTTAAACTAACTGTTTTGGATTGACCACCACTAGGTCATCTCCAAAATAATCAATCCTGTGTCAGGTAACATTGCCCGTCGAGGAAGGCGATGGATAGCAACGCATGTCCTAGCCATCTCAATGGATGTAACTTCACAGACTCATTGATTGATTTCCCTCCTTACTTAGCCTAGCACTCAACCTATGCCTAGACTCAATGTTGCTTACCCTGTTATACCACTTGACACGGGAGATAGAATGCAGACAGGCACCTATGATTAATGGTTATGTCTCACTCACAGCCATAAAGGAGGATGGAGCGAACTGCTATTGAGCAGTACACATGCCCTTTGGTCGATAAGCGGATACGACGTCTACTTAGCCAGAGATAGCGTTAGTAGGCTACTAAATGTTAAACAAGCCTTCTGGATCCCTGGGGAGATTTGATCAGCGGTCAACCCTCTAGCACTTATTGATGCATCTTCCTTAATTAGTAAACAAACAATCTTTACACTTTAATTGTCATTATTGATCCTGTGATATAGATCGTAAATAACTTAGTGCAGAGGTATTTTGAATCTGGAATGTAATAAGACAGCTATTGATATTTAAGGGATTTTTTATTTCCGTAGAGTTAAGAGTACATTCCATCCACTGCAGTAATAGTGGGTTTATCTCTCTCCTAATAAACAGAAAATAAGAATTCGGCATATAATTTAATATCACAAGAGCATATTAACAGTTCAGTACTCTTGGTGGAATAGCCACGAATCTTTCAAAATGGCTAAGATGTGTAACTGCGCTTATCATTTCCATCGCCTATAAAACTTCACCATTGTTGTATATCACGCAGTGGTATCACTTTATTTCTGTTCATCGATTCCATACTCCCTTAAGCAAAATGTGATGACTTGAAGTGATTCATGTCCTTGCAAAGTTATACAGAGTTTAGCTGTCGTCCTATTTCTCAGAAAATTTTTCATCTTTGTTTCGTGCAATATGCCTTTTATATACTACGTTTTTTCATTTGTAATGAAATCGAATGAAAAATGCAAAATTAATCAGCTGTAAACTATCAAACTAGTAATAGCTACTCAAACGTTGTAGATATTATATGTATATACATACTGCAATCTTCCTTCCATATAGGTTATAAACTTAGCTAACGCATCGCAAAAGACACTCCCAACAGGCCACTGCAAACTTTTATCAACAAATGCTTCCTCTGGCTCTATACTGAAGATCGGACAGCAGGCCATAAAGGGTAAGCAAAAAAAAGGAACTCTCTGGAACGAACCAATCAAGAACCTGTTGCTCTGAATAATATCCCTAAGGAAAACAAGATAGATAGATCAAACTCTCAGGAGACTGTTGGGTAACATCGTGTGTTAGTTCCTCGGACAGAATCTTAAGGCGAAGCGACGAATTAGGCGTGTATCCAAGCGTGACTTGGAGGAGATCGTGCAAGGAGGAGACAAGATCAGATAGGCAATCGTAGATCCGGTTAAAGGGCACTGCAAAAGGACAGGAAAACATGGGGTGTGATGATGAAGCCGTATTTTCCACTCGGGATCCAAAGGACTGAATATATATATACACACATATATATACATATCCATATATATATTGTAATCTTCAAATAAGTATCACAGCATTTATTCATGGAATTTGCCTACACTTCCAAAATTGTGGGGGAAAATGAATACAATTCAAAGGCATCTTGTTAGTTTCATTATCTAATTTCAAAAGAATATAAATAAAATGTAAATTATTTCTTATAAGCATACCTTAACACCTGCTCGAAATGCATTACGACCCATGAAAGACTCCATCATTCTTAGAACAGATGCTCCCTGAAAAACCAGAACAATGCGAAAAATATTTTAGAAAACATTCATAAACAAATCAAGTACCACCTCCTGACGACGGTGATCATCTTGTCTCATCTTTCAGTGGAATCAGAGTAGTAGTTTAAGCCAAATATAACCTCTCTGTGTTCTATTCTTTTACTTTTTTCTGCAGGTGTGATGTCATTACTAATGCCTATTTTAATCAGAAGTGGGTGATCAAGACAGCTCCTTTAGGATACCACGGATAAAAAAAGAACTGAGCATTTTCATACATACGAATATTTTCATTTTCTTTCTTTTCACCCCTGGATTTCTATAAAATCCATGAAATACACTTTTTAATGCCCAAGAAAAGGATAAACACAAAAGTGTTAGTGTGTGTGTGTGACGAGAGGATGGCTTTCACACTAAGTTTGGAATTCCATTTCATTAATATTGTCGCCAATTATATGAATGTGCACCTGCATACCATCTCCATTGAGATTACCGCTTAGTAATCGCCATTTCAAACAAAAAGATTATTGCTTACCATATCGTATAACTGATTAATCTACAGCAATATTTGCTAGTGAATATGTCGATGTCATTAAAACTATACTTAATGCGTTTTTCCCAATTGAAAATATTATTTTCTCCTAGTTAGGTTGGGGGGACCAGATTTGTTTCAGGATTTTTGACCACGGATTGGGACTCATTGGAAGTACGCACCGACCCACTGGGCTTCGAACCTAGGATCTTTGGGTTAGAAGTCAAGCTCGGAGACTAATCAGCCGCTGCGAACCAATCCAGCGGTCTATGAATTCCAAATTCCACCATTTCGTGATTTTATCCCGACCATTAGCTAATGGTGTGGTTGGATTATTTCTCAGAGTTGTTGTTATTAGATGATTACAAGCGATCAACAGGAAGCTATGGACACAAGACTCGTGCTTATTTGCACTCAACAGTCAGCGAGACGTATCTACACACCTTGAAGGAAGCCATCAACCCTCTGAGAATCGAAACTGTGTCAGAGACTTTACCAGTGAATTATCCATCCAAACTAGTGATTAATCTCCTGTCAGACTGTATAAGATACTTTGATTGGACACTAGTAACTAGTGTCATGCATCTGGGTTTATTGTCGATAACAACACCACAGTGAGTTTCCTACCATGGTGGTCACGTTGCATACCACCTGACTGATAGGATTCAATCTTCACCAAGCAGAGGACTAGACGCATGATACTAGTTGGTGTCTAATCAAAGTAGTGAATATTTTTTTTACCACACCCGACTACAGTGATCACGGCTTCACACAAGAATTTTATTGTCAGTGGCTTTTTGACATTTCTACTGACTTTGCAATAAACAATTAACTGTAAATGATATAGTTATCACGAAGACGGTCAGCGTGAAGGAACTGATGAATATATATATATATCATCAAATGAGTATAACACTGACGATTATTTAAAAAAGTAACACAATGAATTCGTACTTACTTTATTATATGATATTGGATCAAAAATTTCATTAATTTCATCGGGAAGACAAACAGGTTGAATAACTGGACGTGAGGTGGCTAATGAATCACTCACCAACACTTTTTGTATATCATCAAGAAGAAATTGTTCATCCTAATTACAGACGACAAAAAACAAACAAACAACCGCTGGTATTTTTATTTATTTTTTGAATGAGTAGATAACATCTTTTGAAGTATACTCATGCCTAAAATATGGTTAAGATACTGTTGATGATAGTTTTTTGGTGCTAAAACGAGATCTATACAATTCATTCTTGGAGAAACTGAACAATCTATCTCTTACAATCCAGTTTACTTTGGAGGCAGAATCAGATGTCGGTGAACTACTATTTCTAGACTGCTTAGTTCAGTGAGAAAAACCACTCTAACAAATATTTATACTTCAGATCATCACATCCTATCAGCACAAAGATATCCACTGTTTCAAGTCTTCTTAAACCTGCACACCCTTTGATAACGGTTGAGAAAGTAAAAGAAGAAGGAATATCAAACATTACTGAGACTCTCAAGCGAAAAACAACTACCCGAAAACCTTATCAACAATATCAACATTGACATTAGGTATGATCGAAAACGTACTCCGAAAAGATGGGCCTCAATAGTTGTCATTCAACATAGATCAAAGACGTCAGACGACAATATCAGAAGAGTACTCAATCAGCTCAACATTAGAGTTTTCTTCAAAACATCAAACATACTACGAAACAACCTTGTCCATATAAAAGACCAAATCCCTAACGATTCTCTATCTAATTGTGTCTATGAAATAAAATGCTTGGAATGTATGTGATGCGATATACATCAAACAAGCATAGTGAGAAATCAAAATCAGAAGATATAAAACACTGTACAGCATCCCTTCAACCATCGAGAAATCCAGTTGAAAAGCTTGAAAAATCATCAGCCATAGTTCTACACACTGTAGAATTTGTTTTTGACTATATTAAAATAATCCAGAAAAATTTCAGAAACTACAAAAAACTTCTGATATCTGAAGCACTTTACATAAAGTGAAATCCAAATTGCCTGAATAGGAATAATGAACTAATACAGAATTTGACCTGGTTACAACACCACCGCCTCTCTCATGAATTGACCTAAATCAACACCGATGCGATAGCAATTTCATTATGTAAACACACGGTGTTTTCACAACTTTATACACTTATCAAATCCAAAAATTTACACCTGGTTTTGTTATCCTTACCATTTGAACAACTTGTCAAAGTAAAAATGATCCCATGCTGAGAAACGATGAATAAGTTGTTATATATAAGCTGAGATTTTTTAGTGAATTCTGGTTTAATAACACTTTGATAAAGCTATCAGCAGCATTAAGTAGGGAAACGTCAGTAAAAACAACAATAGTGTTTCGTTTTTTATTCATTGGGAAATATAAAAAGAACCCTTTATTATAATGAATATCATATACCCAATGCCAAAATGTTTTGAGATTCTTAAAAGTGATCTTAGTTTGGACGTATATAAATCCTAATAAAAGATGTTACAATACTAAATATTCCCATAGTAAAAAATAGAACAACACTTTAAAGTGAACAAAATTGTGCTTGTAATTAGATCCCTATTATACTTAATGATCGTACGAAATTATGTTGAATCCATGTTTAAATGGCTTAATAGTTAAAATGCCTATCACCTTAACTGTTTGCAGTAGACGAATACGAAGTCTATTGGAAGGATTCAACGGGACGCAATGAATCACCACCTTAATTGCTTTCGTTTTCCTCATTACATGACCACTTTCAACTAAACGCAACAGAAATGTAGCTGCGAATTGTTTTTGTCTATCTGTCCTTTGCCAAACCACCATGATAGGAGATGTTCATTATCCAATAATCCTTATCACATCTTCATTAAAAACCGTATTTCACTTACTTCCCCCACAGTATGCATTACCTAATCGTTCCACTTGTTTTTCTTAGCCTTTATCGACTACTACGTCTACCTGAACATTTGTTTGTTTAATCTTGCTGTTTTTCGTTATTCTTGTTATCACCGGATCACCTCACTTTTTCATCTTTGTTATTGATAGAACCATTATTATCATGACTAACTGCGCAATTTATATGCACAATCTTATTATCCTATAGACAAAACACCATGATTGGATTAAAGTTGAATTTTCATTTGTAGAGTTATGTAGATTAGAGTCTGTGTTTGTGGAAGCAAATACATAGGTCGTACAAAAAGACGATTGTCTACTCGCATGATGGAGTATTTGCCGAAATGGTTGAAAACATCTGAATTAAAAATGCTAAGAAGCTCAATAACAAAGCATCTCATAGACTACGGACATGACACTAAAGTTGCCAAGTCATTCACTATTGTCAGCAGACAAGAAAACGGGAAAATGCTTGCGATTGAGGGCAAGGCTTGTGCGAGTTTACAAACCAGGGCTCTATGTACAAAAGGAGATAGCAGTCATTCTGACTCTACTATGGTAATACCTTTTACTTATTATTCTACCTCTTATTATTATAATTCTTATTATTATGCTTTTATTCTTATTCTTGTGCTTTATTCTTATTATTATGCTTTATCGGTAAGATTATCTTAACTCACTTCAACACTATCATTATTATTATTATTATAACTATTACTATTGATAGGCTGTTTGCAATTCTCGTTATATACCCTAATGACTAATTGTTTATTTAAGTGGTGTAATTGAAGCGTAATGCAATTTAACTTAATTTTGATCTCTCATACTCTCTCTCCCCTTATCTATTTGAACATGACCTGGAAAACATTCGCACCTGTTTATCTGCGTGACTAACTCAATGCAGTTTATTTGCTTATCACTTATATCTCACAATATGATTTCAATATTATATATATATCCGTGTATGTAGAGTATTCCGCTGACGAGTTCTACCGGAATTTGATGAATTCATTAAATCATCCTGCTTTATTAACCTTTGCTGCTTGCTTTTAAGATTAGAGTTAAGCCTGATGAGATCTAATTAAAAACACAATATTATTCGATAAAATGCGTTGTTCTAAATAAAAGATGTGACAAATTACAAATAATACGAAGACTACCTCCATAAAAGCCTCGCAGTCGAGATTGGCTAGTTAGATAGCCTGAAGTCACATAGACCTGAAGTACCTCTAACTCCAATTCTTGAAATACACAATTCACCTTAACGTCCCTTAGCTAAATGTTTGGTAACCACCCTAAATGTTACAGATATACATATGTATATATAACATATATAGGACTACAATTCAAAGGTAATATACCAAGCAAAATAATAGCCAACAAGTTAAAGAAAGTTGATTAAAGTAGGTTCAACGCCGGTAAGCTGATGATTATGTTTTCTACACAAACAGTTGGGATTCCCCATCTGAAAGATGAAGTGGCTGGTTTAGCCACCTCTTACTTTGTAAAACAAATTCCAATTCTCCTGCCAAGTCACCTAACAGTGTGGTTAAATTAATATGTTTTCAAAGTCATCAACAGTTCTACATATTATCTCATCCAAAAGGATCACATATCAAGCTATCGTTGAAGAGTCTTTCTCTATTATCTATTGGGTATTGAATAAACTATCAAAGACTCCTTAAAATATCGGACATTCTGAGCAGAAAAGTTCATTATAATTAGCTTAATTCAATCGAATCTATGTATGCTGAAGACACACACTACTAATTCAGTCTAATTTAAAACAGTATTAATGTTGTTAAGAAGAATGTGGCTTTTTTTCAAAACTGTTATCTTCATATTAATGTTGAATCTGTTTTGATGAATTTATCACAAAGAATACTTTTCATTCATCATTATTTAGTGCTGTACCATCCTTTAAGTAATATAACAATCCAGCTCAAAGAAGACAGCACCAAAGAACATCCACCTAAGTTACAAATTTCAACTGTTTCACAACTGATTCACTTCGATTTAAGCAGACACGTATTTTCGGTAAATTCTCATCAGGCTTTGCATTTACTCAACGGAATATTAGTCATGGGCATTTAAGTTAATGTGGTGATGATAAAATATTGGATCAGAGTTCCGGGATATTAATGAATGGATAACAATAGAGGTGATAATGATAACAAAGAAAAATCCATTCAGGATTTTATATAATTTAGGCAACGGTAAGTGTGTAGATAGAATGTGCATACTAGCAGGAGTACAAGGAGAAATAACGATTATCACAGAGCTATTAGATAGTATAATAATACAAAAGCAGAGGTGATGAAGATACCTGGCCAACAACAACAGACAACAATCAGCCAGCGTAAATGGGACGAACCTGAAAGAAACAACCTCCTTCACCTACCTACCTGCCTATCTGGGAAGCATCATTTCAACTACAGGCGAACGGAACTGACGAGGATATCAAAGCAAAGAGAATCACGAAAGCAAGACAAGCTTTCATTACTCTCAAGTCCGTGTGGAGGTCAACAGCACTCAGCATCAAAAATAACATCCGGATTTTCAACTCCAATGTAAAGTCAGTGCTACTCTGTATACGGATCAAAGACTTGAGGCGTCATAAAGAGTATCTCGAACAAACTACAGACCTTCGTTAACAGTTGTCTTCGTTCAATACTCAAGATCAGATGACCAGCCAGAAAAGATCAGCAACAGGGATCTCTGGCGATGAGCGAACCAACCAGGAACCGATTGTGCAACAAATAAGAAATGGAGGTGGATTGGCTAATCATACTCTGATGAAACTATCAAGTGACATCACTAGACAAGCCACTGCTCGAGTGGAACCCGAAAGGGAAGCGGCGAGTTGATCGTCAGTGCAAGGGTTACTTGGAGGAGGTCATGTGAAGAGGTGATGAAAGAACGTGGGCAGACTTGGAGTCAGGTGAAAACCTTAGCAGAGAACCGAACGCAACGGAGATGTGTAGTTGAAGCCGTATGTTCCTCTCGGAATTAAAGGAAATAATCACAATACTAAATTGTGAAACCAAGAATAAAATGCACAACTATAGCACAGCATAATATTGATAATATAGTTTGCATTATAAACTAAATAAAATAAAAATATAATAGGAGATATTTACAGTTATTCGGTGTCACTAGGAGAGATGACAATTTTCGGTTCGTGGCGAAGGCCAACAGAGGGGGTAGAGGTTGAACAAACATTTTCTGAACACAGATAATGGGTTGAAAAATCTCTATGGAAACTGTGTCAGCTACGCTTAGTGACCGAAGACGCACCAACCTAAGGAGCTGAGGTTGCACCCTGTAAATAATTGTAAAAGCCAAATTTTTGTCTACCTTGTGTTCCGTATCCACAAGGTGTGGCACTATGGAACTCATGATTAACTCTACGACTTCTTTATCTAACCACGTTAGAGGATAATCAAGATAAGCCAAATTTATAAATGCACATTGAAGCAACCAGACTCAGTCGCATACCCGTCAGCTGCACTGGAATTATACGACGAGTGGCGAATTTTAAACACAATGTTGCGGCAAAGAATGTCTTAGCTCTTATTTTTTTAAGTTTCGACGACAGAAATTCAGTTGCTGAGTCTTCTTTTGACGCTAAAGTCGTGTGTGTGCGCTTCTTCTTCCTATCTGCTCTCCTCATCGAAAATTTAACAATTTTTAAGAGTGCCAGTCCTGGTAAAAAATGTTTTCTATTTTTCTTATTTCATTGTCTAGATAGCCGGTTGGGCAGATTTTTTCTAGCACGATACATGAAGGTGCTGACTAGACTTCATTTGTATGCCAAAGGAACAAACGGCTTGAAATGAATGTACTGACAAATCCATGACTTCTTCCGGAAAATACCCCTCTTAATACTGTCATCTAGCCTTGTAGTTAGTAGTAAGAGGAAACCTAGAGGGGAGCACATTCTACGCTCTACAGCTGACGGTAAAATTCATTTTTAAAAAGAAACTGCATATTGATAGTACAACAAAGTAGCTGTTCCTGTGGTGTTTGATTACTTCATGGAGGATTTCATCATGAGCTGATATCGGTTAGAGAACCACTGGAAAACTTGGGGGAACTGGACAGCTGTTTCGTCCTAACTTGGGATTGTTCATCGGTAAGCACCCTATTCAGCCACTACGACCCGATTTAGTGGTCTAAGAGCTCGCCTTGTGGGCGGTAAGACTGGACAATGTCACAGATAACGGGCAACGAACAGAGAGACACAAAATCAACTCACAGAAAACACTCGGAGGATATGAACTTTGATGATCATATATGTCTGATTTCACACAAACAGGAAGATATGCAAGTGAAAAGCAACAAGTTGGCAGAAGAAGCATCCAGAGAAGATAGGAATTCTTTCAGGTGAACACAGAGTAAACAGAGGTGATGAAGATTCCTGGCCAACAGAAACAGCCACAGGAACAACGACAGTCAACAGTCGGCCAGCATAAATGGGAATAATCCGAGAGAAGCAACCTCCTTTACCCACCTACCAACCTACGAATCTGCGAAGCACTGTTTCAACTACAGGCGGACGGAACTGATGAGGATATCAAAGCAGCAAGGATTGGGAAAGTGAAAGTCTATGGAGAGAAGTCTATGTGAAGAGAAAAAGTACTCCTCAGCATGAAAAATAAGATCCGAATTCTCAACTTTAGTGTGACGTCAGTCAATGATACTATACTGCATTGATCAGAGACTTGGTGCAATGCAAACAAACTACACACCTTCATCAACAGCTGTCTTCTCTCAACACTACTCGTGATCAGATGGCTGCCAGAAGAAATCAGCATTAGATGGGTCTCCGGCAATGAGAAAGCCAACCCAAAAGGTACACATTTTGCAACAAATATGCGTGAAGACATGAAGGAGGAATGGGCAGACTCTGAGAAAACAGACCATCAAGTGAGTGAACTCACAAGCTAAACTATCGCTAGAGTGGAACCTGAATGGGAACCAGTGAGTTGGTTGTCAGTGCGAAAGTGACGTGAATAAGACTATGGTAAGAGGAGAAAGAAGCATGTGGACAAACGTGAAGTCAGGTGAAAACTTTGGCAGAGTACCGAACTCAATGGAGACGTGTGATTGAAGCCATACATTCCTCTAGGAACTAAAGGAAACAATAATATTAATAATAAACTCAAGAATCTGAATTGGTTTATAGATACTGGCAGACTCATTCAATGTGGCACACAGATGTATTAGTACTGAACCTGAACAGACCATCCAATCTACATATCCATGTAAGTTTATTGGAAGTGAAACTTAATTTTTTTTGCATTTAAATGTTTTTCAACCTGAAAATCAAATGAAGAAATCATAAATCAATCCTGAAATTTAGTTGTCTACCGAGTTGGATAATAATAATGTTAAATAGTGTGACATACCATTCCCCATTCTGGATGAACATGATCCACTCCAATATATTCAGCAAAGCTGGCAAAACCTTCATTAAGCCACAGATCATCCCACCATTTCAAAGTTACCAAATTTCCAAACCACTGAAAATGTATGTATAAAAGAAGAAAGAATGAATTATACTGTATTGTATTCGTCAGAAACTTAATGAAAATAATTCAATACTCTAAATTTACAACTATGAATAATCTTCATTTTGTGTATAATTAACTTTCATTCATTTCGAAATTCACTAAATTTTTCTCTCTTTGAATTCATGAACTTTTTCAGTAAAAGAGTAAATAACTGACCGATTTCATTTAAAAGGAAGATTGAATTAGATTCTTGTTGATTATAGGGAATTAAAAGACAGTTGCAAAGAAGAAAACTTTCTTTTCGACAAAATAATAAATGGGTAGGAAAGTTCCAGAATAATTTCCGGTCAAGGTTGAAATTAATAAAATTACAACTAGGAATTAAAATGCCATAATAGACATGAGGGCGACGGATAAATTTCAAACAAATTATTGAGAAGATTGACGTGTTGTACAGTTGGGGGTTAGAAATGCAGAAATAACAACAATAGACAGGATGTTCTGATGAAAAAATCTAGTGGGATGATAACTAATGTGACGAATAATTGTTTATGCAACCAGGGATTAAATATGTACAAATAATAAAATGACAAAATACACAGGAAGTTCGGATACGAAAATATGGTAGTGTAAATAGGGATTAAGAAAAGCTTAAAGATATCATGAATAAACAGGAAGTTTGGATAAGAAAGGCAATGGGATAGTCACTATTAGAAGAATTAACTGTTTATGATGGCCACTGCAGGAACAAGGGTTGGACGTATTTCTTTTGGATACATAGCCTAGGTTTGAGCTTTTGGATGGTTAGTGCCTCGACTTTGTCCAGATGTCTTAATTCAAATCTCTTTGATAGGTTATATTATTTTTTCCTTTAGTTTCCAGGGGAACGTAGGGCTTCAGGCGCACGTCTCCATTGCTTTCGGTTCTCCGCTAACGTTTTCACTCTACTTCGTGTCCATCCACATGCTTTCATCTCCTCTTCGCATGACCTCCTCCATGTCACCCTCGCACTGACGACCGACTCGTCGCTTCCCACTCGAGTCCCACTAGAAACAGAGAATCTGACGTGATGGATAAAGCGAACTGCTACAAAGTACACCCGTCCTTTAATAGACAGTCGCATACTATGTCTTGTATATCTTGTATATTATCTTGGAGGACTTTTCTATTGGGGCAGAATGTCCTGAATCGACCAGATGTTCTGTCATTGCACTGTATACACGCTTTTGGTTTCCTTTTACTAACCAGGCTGGGTAGTATTCGCGAGCGCGTTTTTTAAGTTGGCGCGTGGTACAGCTGATGTCCACAAGAGCAAGTAAGCTGGTATATGCACGTTGAAGTGGCCTAATGCGACAGCTTGTCTTTCGTGTTCTGGCCGGACAGTTTTTTGCAGGAAAACGATAGTCATAGGGTCTCGGCGAAGTATGTCTTCCTCAGAAATTCGCGGGTGTGCTTACGAAGGATTTCTGCCCTAATGTTACTTTTCAATTCTAAATTAAGTAGAAGTATCTTCTTCAGGACTGATTGAACTTGTTCGGAAGTCTTCTCTGATTTGCGGTTCTTGTCAATGAACATAGGTGGAAGAGCATTTTCCATCAGGGTTTTTCGGAGGTTACGCAGTTCCCCATCAATCACCTCTTCGCTTCATACCTTACGAATCCTCCAGGAAACAGCGTTTATCAGATTCCTCTTTCTGCTCAGGAGCACAAAGCGTTGAAAGTTGGTGAACTGTCCAGTCCATGTGAGCTTTTTGTATATGAAACTTTTTAGAGAGTTGTCGGCGTTTCTTGACAGATGGATGTCGAGGAATTGGCATATAATGAGAATGGTTTTGAGCAGTATCACTGACAGTCTTAGTCCATAAGTTCTTCGCATTCCAAAGATTCCTACTAGACAGTCTATGCATCTCTACTCAGTTCAGATTAGCTATCAAAGACTCTATGGATTTATTTCTTGCTTTGGTTGGACTACCCCTAAAACTCTTCGTCAACCTTAACCTTAGATCAGTTAACACTGCCCATCAAGGATGGCGATGATGGTGTCCTAGCCATCTCGACCCATGTAGCTTCAAAACCTCATTGAATGGCTTACCATTCTTACTTAACACTCTACACCTAACCACATCATTACTCATCATTGTAAGCATCTGTAGTCAAAGACATCTAGCCTCTTCAGATTTCTCTTGTGTCACTGGCGGTACCTCAGTGCCGAAAATATGGATATGGCGAAATGCTACAAACTACACACGTCCTTTAATATATAGTCACATACTTAGTCTATGCCAGAGATGACATCAACTAATAAACGCCACATGAACCTTGTTTATCGATGCTAAGGTTTATTCGTTAATCATACCATTGGGACTAACGAAATATCCCAGACCAGGGAAATGCTCAATCAGCACTCTCAATCACTTCACTCTCTTTCCTTAAACTGAAAATCGATAGAGAAAAAACCTAAAGGATCATATGACATTTAACAGCAGCGAAGTGTATGCCAAATATACCATGATCTCTGCTCATGTTGTTGAGAAGACTGCATTTTGTCAGCATCTCCAACTAGGACAATATTATCTGTAGAGTGTAAGTCGCAGAGACTGTCCCTTGATAATAAGTCAGTCTCTAAGTCGCTAAAGTCGATTATGGTCAATGCCATTAGCATATATCTATGTAGAAATTAAACCGAAATTGGGAATGCTTTTTTCACCGCTTTAGGTGACAATTTTCTAAAAGCACTTACGTGGCTTCGTAAGTTTGAAAAGAGCTTCTTGATTGGTGTGACATACTTCCTCAGTTTTATAGTCTACTTGAAGCCTTTTTGACTTACATAGATCTGTTTCTGTCAAGCACTGCACAGTCTACGCGTCATTATATTGTACCTAGAACTTTAGATACTACGGTTGTCCCAGGAATACTTAAAAACCGGGATAAACAATGATTCACATTATTCCAGAGGAACTATCTCTGACTTACACACATCAGCTAATATATTACTTTAAAAAAATGATTAGAATTCGTTCAGTAGAAGGGGTCTGTTCGCAATATAACCCAACAAGTATACAACGAAACTAGCCAGTAGCATTTGGAATTAGACAGCATATAAAACTGGTTTCCATTCATCAACCAGTAAATGCGTATTCAGTTTTGATCCATATCATAGGGAATATATTGCTTATTATCATTGTTTTCTAAGAAATGACGCATATCAAATGATCACCTAATCCAACAATAGTCTGCTATGTTTGAAAATCTCTCCGATTAACGTTCGGTAGCTGGATGTAATAATAGTGAGGAAAACCTCAACCTAGATGTAACGGGATAATTATCTGGAAAACCACTATTAAACGATCTAATCACAATAATCATACTTACTCGGATATTTTAATTGGCTTTGTAACTATGTTCCGTTTTTATCCTAACGTCTCTATATCATCTTTTGACTTTATCCTTATGCTTCAAGCAGTGTTTTTTGTAGGGACTTTATTTGATTGGTTGGGGGATTCCATCAGCTGCCCAGTACTCCCTGAAGGTTTTCCAATGGTTCTTTAACTGATGTCAGCTAATGATGAAATCCTCCAACCAATCAGAAAAAATCCCTACAAAAACCAATACTTGAAAAAAATTGATCCGATGGTCGCTAGTGACTGGCCCTATTTAGGCAGGTGGTTACCTGAGATTCTAGTGTGAAGCCGTGACCAGTAGGATGCAGCAGGTTAAAGATGTGGCAGTAGTTCATCGAAGAAGACATTGCCAAGTGGCGACTCTATGTCGTGAATTGGTAGAAGTTAGAATTGATGGACTGGTCATTGGATCAGGTCTCAGTGGCATAATAATCTACGAAATAACTCGCCTTTTAACTGGCAGGTCCTAGGCTCGAATCGTGGCGGCGGGTGCGTACTGACGAAGAGTCCCAAACACGGCTGACCAAACAGCTGTCTGTCCAGTACTCCCAGCTGCTTTTACAATGGTTCTCTAACTGAGATCAGCTCATGATGGAATCCTAACCAATCAATCAGTATTATTATGCCTTGTTCCTATTTAGTCTCTAACGTTTATGTTTCCCTTTGCGGTTGTACGATATGCTGATAATGTGTTGCCTAACCAAATGATTTTCCTTGTGTAGTCACTCAAGGTCATTCTGACTTTTGAGTGTGTGCTGGAATTGTTAGTGTGTGCTTCCTTCAGATAGAGTTGTCACACCACCTTGTTGAGGGTACTGTACTTGATTATGAGGTTCTTCATACAAGTGAATTTTGGTCAACTAATTTCATATATGAATACAGGAACAAAAATGTTCAGCAAAGACTCTCTTTACGGCGGCGAATTCATTACACTTCGCTGTGCAATCGCATTTATACATAATTATTTTTTGGTGTGTGTATGTGTAAATTAAGATTGTCAAACAAAAATAAAATTAGTTAAGGCTATTGTTTTTTACGTCATCAAAATGTTTCTAAAATTTGATGAACAGTCAAAGTTGTAATTAGGGGGTGGGATAGGGTGGAGATTGGAGAGTATTGACAAGGGTCGTTTAATATGAAATAGGATATTAATGGAGACACCTGTCCAAAACAAATTATGTGATACGTAGAGAGCGTAAATAAAGGACTGACCGAGGAAAAGATGTCACTGAGATTCAAAAAACAGAAAACAAAAATCTCTCAACAAAGTCATAGAACTTGGAGTGGAGAAGTTTCTCCTGTGTACATAAATCAAGGCTTTCTATCCGATTCGTTAAGGCTTCGACAATGCAAAGTATACCGAAGCTTACCTATTTCAGGAGGCTTCGTTTGACTTTGTTAATGACTTCGAATAAATTTTCCTTACATATTGAGTGACCGGTGCTGAATATATGCTCAGTTATTTCACTATTTATTGATCCATTGCTACCTTTTTGCAGCAAAGTGGGATAATGCTCTTTGGCTTTTTTAGATAAAACACTCATCGAACGACCTATATACATCTCGCTACACATGAGCAAGTGAATTAGCAGATACACACAGAAGTGGTCAAAAATGCGACAGTTTATCTTTGAAGTTGTTGAAGAACAATCGGCGGCTTGATAATACCAGTTGTAATGCACCAGCAGTGAATGCTCTTTTCAGGGAGGCCAGAAGGTCACTCTTGAAAATCACATTCATGTGTAACATCTTCTTCGGTACAAAGACGTGTCATTATTTGTTGATTTTCGGCTTTATGTGTTTATCTATAAAGCGTAGTGGATAGCCATTCTCAATTAGTATCTTACTCAAATGAATGACGTCTTCCACGGATTCTACTCATAAGAGATTCTGCTCGCTATTGATGGGCATCAAAATGTAAAAGCTTGTCAGCTGGTCGTTTCACGTAGGCTTTCGCTATATTGATAATTTCACTCTACAGTACTTGTTTTGTACTAAAAATCTATCTACCTTGTGTATATATAGCTGTCTAACGACACTGCCCAGGTAATTTAGAGTCTTTGATGGAATCGTTGTTGATTGGAATCAAATATATCTAATAATACGTCATCTTCGCTTTGCTGTTTTTCGAACGTTTTGTGACTGTGCTTGTGTCAAGGAAGTTTTCGACAGCTATACAATAGGAAACAAAAATTAGTTTCCTGAGTCGAGACCACAATTAGTTGGTTTTCTTTGTTACACTCGATTTCATGACTGCTGTTTGAATACAGGTGTTAATTACTGTGTGCAGAGTGGGAAGTATTAGACAACAGAACTCTGCTTATATAAAAATGTTGCACACAAACGTAATTTCAGAAATATGTTTTATGTCATCTAATGCAGATTTTGCCAATTCTCATTAATTATGAAACAAACCCCAAACATCACTACCGTAGCACATAGTTTTGTTTTAACAACCTCGAACTAAGTTTTCCAAAAACAAAAACAAAAAAGAAATCGACGTCATGGTTAATTCTTATGTTTTATTACCTGGTGGGCAACTTCATGTGAAATTACAGTCGCCACTTTTTGCTGAGTTACTGCTGTACCATATTCAGGATCCCATAGCATTGTTGCCTCTCGGTAAATCATTAGACCCCAATTTTCCATAGCGCCAGCAGCAAAATCAGGAACAGCTACCATGTCTAATATTTAAAATAGAGAAAAGTATCTATTATATATACATATGTATATATATAGAGCACACAGCAGTAATAAATTATGCTTTAGCGTATTTAATTTTACCTGTTTTATAAAATGCTTCTAAAAATATTCTTTGAAAAGCACAAAAATGTATTCCACTGGTAATATTTTCACAGGCTGTACAAAATACTGTTGGAAAACTGTCTCTCTCCATAATGGAATTAGTGGAAAAGTAGCGACGAATGGGGGGTTATGTACACATACTTATACTTACACAATGCATTTAGACCATATTAGATGGTTGAAGGTAATCTGCAGGAAGCCTTGGATCTAGGTTTCGTTCCAGCTTGGCACTCGTCAGCAAGCTGTATCTGCTGATGTATCTGCACGGGTTCGAATCTCAATAGGGACATGAGTTCCTTCAAGGTTACAGATACACCTTGCTGACGAGTGCCGCCTAGTATAAAACCTTTGTCTAAACAAGGCTTCCTGCCGATCACCTTCAACCATCTAATATCATCAAATCAATGTGCACCGTGATGACGAGCTAGCTAGAATGGTGGCCACATTACAATCTGACTGATAGAATTCAGTCTGCACCAATGAGAGAACTAGACACATCACACTAGTTACTAGTGTCAAATCAAAATAGGATTTAGACAAATTTTGTGCAAGTCAGAAATGATGTTATTAATTTAGAACTTCTAATGGATGTGCCAAAAATGCACTAATTTAACACTGGCCCACATTCAACTCAACTATGTAAAGAAATTAGGTGATATATTTCTGCGTAAATTAAAAAAATAGAGGATTAAACTTGGCTACTGTGTAGAAAATATCCCTATTATTATTATTATATCCTTTAGTTCCTAGAGGAACATATGGCTTCAGCTGCGCACCTCCATTGTCTTCGGTTTTCTGCCAAATTTTTCACCTGACTCCAAGTCTGCCCACATGCTTTCATCTCCTCCTCGCATGACCTCCTCTAAGTCACCCTTGGACGACCAACTCGCTGTTTCCCTTTCGGGTTCCACTCGATGGCTTTCTAGTGATGTTGCTTGATTGTTTCCTCAGGGTGTGGCCAGTCCATCTCCATTTCTTCCTGCATGTTTGTTTCACAATTGGTTCCTAGTTGGTTCGCTCCCAGAGATCCCTGTTACTGATTTTTTCTGACCATCTGATCTTGAGTATTGAGCGAAGACAACTGTTGATGAAGGTCTGAAGTTTCTTTGAGTCTCTGATCCGTATAGAAGCACCGATTTTACATTGGATTTGAAAATCCGGATCTTATTTTTGATGCTGAGTGCTGTTGATCTCAACACGGACTTGAGAGTAATGAAAGTTTGTCTTGCTTCCCGATTCCGGCTTTGATATCCTCGTCAGTTCCGTTTGCCTGCATTTGAAACGATGCTTCTCAGGTAGTTAGGTAGTTGAAGGAGGTTGTTTTTTTCAGGTTCGTCTCATTTACGCTGGCTGACTCTTGTCTGTTTTTTGTGTGAGTCCATTTTATGCTGGTTTCCTCATTGCCCGTTGTCTGTCTCATCATCCAATCTACTGCAATCAGGAAGATTATTGGCGATAACAGACAGCCTTGCCTCACTCCTGTCCTCACTTCGAAGGCTTCCGTAAGTTTCCCGTTGTGGATTACTTGTCATGCAGCATTGTCATACAGTCGTTGGATGAGATGTATAATTGTCGGTGGGACCCCGTAGTAGCGAAGTAGTTGCCAAATTACCTCACGATCGACGCTGCACTATCGAAGGCCTTTTCAAAGTCGATGAAGTTGAGTGAGGTAGACAGGTGACTGTCATTCTAAGCTTTGTTCAATGATGATTCGTAGTGTAGTGATTTGATCAATACATGATCAATACATATCCCTATTATGGAAAATTTATTTTCATTTTGCTGAAATCACACATAGTGTTGTTAAACAGTAGTAGTAAAATAAAACAGATAACTTGTTAGAATGCTGTAATGTGAGTTGACTACATTTTAAGATTATTTATTATCCTCCTCTCATTTGACTGGTGGTAATAATATCTTCCATATCTCTGGTATTTGCGTCGAGTCATTCCTGTTGTATGTGTTGGGTGTAGACTCGATGAACCCGGCAGGATTCAGTAATCAACCACTCTCTTTCTCCACCTACCTAAATTACTTTTTAGAATTCTAACCCCCTCCTATTTTATTTTGTGGTTGTATGTTAGTGCATGCATGCAATCTCTGAGCTTCTTTCTGAATTAATTATCTTCGTGGGGTGAATCAAAAAGCAGGATTTGGGATGGCGTTCAAACCTAAAACTTCACTCAGGTTGGACAAGCTCTGTAGGCTGAAGGATCTGGTAGGTTACACAATTGAACAAAATAATATAATATACAAAATACCTTGGAATGGCTGTGAATTAAGTCAACTACATAGGTCAAACTGGTAGATCAGGAGTGATGAGATTGTCTGTCAGAACATAAGAATTTATCTAAGGGTAGAATGTTTTACCCTACCCGCGAAGATAAGTAATTCAGAGAAAAACTCAACCCTAATGTACCTGAAAAAATACTTCCCAAATATAATGAACGATTATATTAGTTTTTCCTTTAGTTCCCAGAGAAACGTTGGGCTTCAGCCGCAAGTCTCCATTGCTTTCTGTTCTCCGCCAAAATTTTCACCTGACTCCACATCTGCCCACATGCTTTCATCTCCTATTCGCATTACCTCCTCTGTGTCACCCTAGCACTGATGACCGACTCGCTGATTCCCATTCGAGTTCCAAGAGAGACAGAGAGTTTGGTGTGTGATGTCACTTGACAGTTTCCTCAGAGGATACCAGTTTTTAATTTTCATAATCTATCAGAATGGTTTTGTTCTATATTGAAGATGAACCCTCTCTTCTGTCATTTATTTATTTACAAGAATTAATACAGTTAATAATAAAACGCCTTACTGCCTATCTTAATCCTAACCGTAAAATGATATCAATTCACTGTCCAAACAGTATGTAGGAACACTTGAATTCTTGCACAGCGTTCATATTGGCGCTGCTATATTAGCAGGTTCTGTAATCCAATGAAGGGTGTGCGTTCAAGGCCACTGGTGCGTTTACACTCTGTATGGTCGCTATTCTTTAGGTTGGTCAATATATTTTAGTCTCGGTTCAAATTTTACGTCATGTAATACACTGAATGTAATACGACTTTTAAAAAAAATGCACATGATGGAAAGCTGAAGTAAGAAGTGGAAGAGTTGAATGTGATTGTTTCTCAGAAGAGACTTAAAGAATTCACTAATCAACCCTCCTAGTTATTTCTGATACCATTAATAATAATGTTATAAAATGACATGTTTAGTCGACTCCTTTATTCTTCTAATTCAGTTATGATTTAACTCTGAATAATGAATAAGGACTTAACCACCCACCGTAAATTGACACATTGGAATGATAGATAACAGCGCAAAATTTTTCAATACTCAAGAGTAGAGAGATAAATTCTAGGATAGATTCAAGATTTAAATCCATGTTGAGATAATATTCGATTCTCTGTTTAAAATGGTGATGTCGTGGTGAGATCTATCTGCAGCTCAAAATTGAAAACAACAGTTTACGTTAATGTTTTTACTTCCCGAATCGGGGTCGTGCGAAAAAAACACTAACAAAGCTTAACCTTGGGGAAGTCACCAGCCAATCACAGAAGACTTAACGTGTACAAATACGATTCGCAGATATATGGCTTAACTTTCTAAGAAAAGGTCACAAGCAGTACAGAATAAACTTCAGCAAGAAAACAACCATTCAGAAGACATCTTTTCCCCACTGACAATAATGTACATAAAAGTCTATAAATATCTGTTGATTTTCCTCAATAAACAATCTGTTGCCTGGCCCTTGTCTTCTGTCGTTGCAATGTAACTGTCAACATCTTAAAGATAACCGCTAGCATAAATTACACACAACAGTGGTGTGTTTTTACGAACAGGTAAATTGGATATGTATGAAATACAACTAGTGAGCACTGGTTATCCAGAGTTTATAACTTTGTCATTTATCTTTGATGTTAAAATGTAAACCACTAACGAATTGTTGAAATTTTAGTTACATAAGTGAAGAAGTAAGACATTTTTATTTAAAGATAAACTTCCCAGCAGTGTTTCCCATCAGTGGTGTGCGTGTATGTGAAAGCCTACTTCTACTTATTTAAGTTCATCTGTTCATGAATTGGCGTCAAACTGTTCTTGTTTGCACGCTCATCTCGGTAATAATTCGTCAATTGAGTGTTCTTATGTTGGTAGGTGATAATGCATAAGCGTATTACTTCTATCAGTCAAGTTTGCAGTGTAGCTACAGTGATGGCTGGTGTGCTCTGAAATGTCGTCACTGGATGGTTGGAGGTAATTAGCAGGAAGCCTTGCCTGACGTAGTTTTTGTGCTTGTTGCTACTCAATAGCCAGTCAGCAAAGGTGTGTCTGCAACGATGAAGGAAATTTATGTCTTTTTTGAGATTTGAACCTGTATTGCTCAGTACTGCATTCACAGAAGTTATCACTGGGCTATTCGAACTAGCGATTGACCTCTTATAGGAGTGTATTCAATATACTTTGATTGTACACTAGTTGATGACTAGTATCATGGGTCTGACTGATAACAATGAGTGACACGACTTTGAATTTCAGAAGGGTCATGAATTGTTTTTTCAAGATTGCAGACATGTCTTGCTAACTCACTGGTAAGTGCCAGCCAGCAAGAAAACTGGGCGATCTAAACCTTCCTGCCGATTGTCTCCAACTATCTGATAACCTTGTAACCCTTACTAAATTTCTTTTACAATTATAACCATTATTCATTACCCTTAGAAAATCTATATTTTCAGGTTTTAAAAACATTTAAAAGAACATTAGTATCCTCATCAGAAGAGAAATATTACAGATATGCCAAAGAGATTTAAAAACTTCACTAAATCTCATCAGATTGCAGTTATACCTTGCCAGTGTCATAAACAAGTATCTCTCCTCACATCCAGTTTAATGGATCCCGCTAGTTACACCTTTCCATTGGGACGTCAGGCAACCTCCTTCTGTAGCCAGTCTTTAGTAAGTATTAGATCAATTTTCAAGTGTTGGTTTGGAGGAGCTGTATTTATTTAAAATTAATTGGGTTACATGGTCTATAGACTGGCCGCGTAACCTCAGCATCCTGGGTTCGATCCCCAATCCATGCTAAAACAGAAGTTGAATACTCCCTTGAGTTTCTAGGATTTCCTTATTGATGTCAGTTGATCATATAACTTCAAATAACATCTCAGAGGAAATGAAAACTCTGAGGAGACCATATCGGTGTAATATCGCGCACCAGATAGGCCGTCGAATTTAGCTCTGCTTACGAACGAGGAGTTGAGTGTTTAAATTTGACATGGATGAGGTGATGTGAAGAGTCGGAGTCGGAGGATGAAGAGGAGATGAGAACAGTTGCGCAATCGTGGATGCAGCTGAAGAGGCATTCGGAGAACAGGACAAAAGTAGTGATGTCCTGTTGAAACGTAATGTTCCACTGACAACCCAATGGAACCATAATAATAATGATAAAAATGCATGATCATTCTAAAATAAGGAACAACATTGTAACAACACTCATTTTCCACTCACCTGTCTTTTTAAGTGGATATGACAGTTCAAAGTAATCTTCAAAGAATCGAATAATTTTCTTTCCAATATCCAGTGCGTACATAGCTGAATTGATCTTATCTGGTCTCGCCCAAACAGTAAACTGATATTGACAGAATGCAGAAAAGGATGGATTACAAGAAAATTGAATTGATTAGAAGAAAAGCTTAAAAGTTATGATTTATAAACAAAAGAAGTTACCACCATCATCATCAGATTACTTAATTGTCTCTTGTTTTTGCCAAAACAAATACATCTGTTAACGACATCTTTTGAAGGTTATTTGTTTGTCTGGTTGTTGATATGATAACTGTTTTTCAGTTTTTTTTGCTTCAATACTTTTCCTCCTACTTTTTTCAAAAACCTGTTAGCAGAAGTGTACATGGCGAAGTTAAACTTTAACCACCACTAACTAACTACCAATGGAGTTAGATATGATAGAGAAGATTTGTAACTCAGGTGGATGATTTTGATGTCGTTGTGTTCTCTGAGCTGGATAGTTAATTTGCGAAGCTTTCATCGCCCTACTAGGCAACAACTTCAGCACATAATTCAATTCGTTGAAGTGAGCTTTTCGATTTCTCCATGAGTTTATTTGCCATCTCTCCTGGGGGTGAACTAGGACGTGATTGGTTGTTTTTGTGTGTTTCCACACCTTCTAGGTAACTTGTATTGGAACTGTTGTTTCTTTGACTTGAACTTTGAACTTTTGTGTATGAAGTTTCTTTGTTGTCGGTTGATATATTTCGTCTACCGAGATGTGTCTATTGGTTGATGATTCACTGGAATGCCAAGCTTCTAAAAATTCCCTAGCATTCTTGTTGTTTCCTCTATCTAATATTTGAACGCTGGTTGTCCCAGTCGAATTAATGTCCGTGGTTGTCTGTATGCAGTGATGTGACGGAGTGGATATCATGTCTTTTCACGGCTAGCTTATGTTAGTGGGTACAAAGATGAAGGTGACGTCCACTTTGGCCAATGTAGTATTTTATCAACCGATAACAAAGAAACTTCATACACAGAAGTTCAAAGTTCAAGTCAAAGAAACAATCAGTTCCAATACAAGTTACCTAGAAGGTGTGGAAACACACAAAAACAACCAATCACGTCCTAGTTCACCCCCCAGGAGAGATGGCTAATAAACTCGTGGAGAAATCGAAAAGCTCACTTCAACGAATTGAATTATGTGCTGAAGTTGTTGCCTAGTAGGGCGATGAAAGCTTCGCAAATTAACTATCCAGCTCAGAGAACACAACCACATCAAAACACTAATTGGTGCAAACCGCACCAATGACCTTGAAACGCCCACTGAGGAAATTAATGAAACCAGACAAATAATACTGTCACCATCAATAAAACATACACATCGAAGTGTTACCTGGTTAAATAAGACATCTGGGAAGTTTCATTTAAGGTCTGGGAAAGATAAAGTGGCGCTTTAAGCCAAGGACAAGTTAGGGTTAGATTAACCTAATAAGGGTGACGTTCAGGACGCTTCAAGTTAGATTACAAATAGTTTGGAGAGATCTTCACTTTGGGTTAGGTTCAGGAAAGATTAGGTTTCGATGACGTAAATAATTACATGCATAGAATGTGATTCAATTACTCTGTTGATATAAGAAAGAATAGAACTTGTGCACTGTGGTGGCAGAGTATAGTTCAATTTTGTGTAAAATTTATTTTGATAAAGTCGTCTCACAGTGTTATACAGTAAGTAATATTTACTGATGACCACGTTTCGAGCACAATATATCGCTTACTAAATATTACTGTATACCACTATGAATTTTTATCAAAACAAATTTTAACCAATTTAATATATCTGTATACCTTGAGCACTGTGGTAGTAAGTAATTTCATGTTAGTTTGTTTATTAGATGTATCACACAGTCAGTGAATCAATATTATTTACTGGATGACACAGTTTCAAACACTGTTTATTATTGTTCATAATCATTTTGTGATTTATAATCACACGACTTCGAGACTTGAGTTTCATAGTTTTCTTTGTTCTCTGCCATTTGTTGTCGTAGGGGTAGGAGAATTTTCCAGATTCCTGGCTCGACAGGTGTTGAATCGTTCCTATTACACGTGTTTGCAGTTGATTTGATAAACAAACCTTCTGTTATCAATCTCTCCCTATACCCTGTTACGTTAGATTTCAAAACTGTTATTTTATCCCATCCTATTGTATTTCAAAATCTAATGTCATGGGGTGGAGGGAGAGATTGATAACAGAAGCTTTGTTTATTGAATCAACTGCAAATACTTGTAATAGGAATGGTTCAATACCTGTTCAGCCAGGAATCTGGAAATTTCTGCTACCTTTGCGACGACAAATGGCAAAGAACAAAGAAAACTATAAAACTCAAGTTTCGAAGTCGAGTGATTATAAATGACAAAATGATTATGAACAATAAGAAATTGTGTTTGAAACTGTGTCATCCAGTAAATAATACTGTTTCACTGTCTGTATGATACATCTCATAAACAAATAAATATAAAATTTTACTCACAATGGAATTGTACTCTGTTGATACAACAACCTAAAACTGACAGCTACGTTTATCACATGTAGGAGAAAGGTATCCTCTAACACTTTTATACAGTTTTTATGCATTCGTTTTTGTATGGAGGATTTTATCATGAGCTGACATCAGTTAGAGAACCACTGGAAAACCTGGATGTACTAGACAGCTGTTTGTTCGTAGTTTGTGACTCTTCAGCAGTACGCAACCACCAGGGTTGGAACCCAGGACCTTATGGTTGCAAGACGAGCTCGTAGACCATTGAACCACTGGGACCTGATTCAATGGTTCTCGAATTCTAACTTCGTGCGTTCCCAGGTCGAACCAAATTAATATGCCTTTTCAAAGGAGGAGGTGGTCGATGTTCAGTCTGGAAATATATCAATCGGAATTTAGTCCACGTAAAATAACACCTAATAATTTATTGATCATGATTACAGACTAACGGATACATCCTTGATTTTATATTTTCAATTATACATTATCGCGTAAAGTAGGTTTCTGGGCTCACATCGTGTTGTGTGTTTTCGTTCAAGTAATAACGGTTGGAGAAACAGGTGGCTGTCATATAATGTTCCTGACATAGTCAGGCGGTATTTGTGATCTGCGTCCGTACTTCAGACTCATTGTATCGCAAAAAGCACAACGTGATTCCTATAATCAGCACCCACAATTCAACTTACATTTCTTCCTTTTGAGTCGACATCACGTACTGATGCAAATTGTGACACTACAAATGCCAATAAATATGTTGACATATTAAGACTAGGCTCATATACATCCATATGCCAGTCGTCGTGCAGTATTTCGGTCTTCTCCAGTGCCATATTTGAAAGTGAATGATAATGTTTCTTGCGGATAATTCTAACCTGTAAAATAATCATGGAAACCAAAAAGATAAAACAATCGAAACACAATGGATAAGAACTTATTAGTTAACTGCATAGTTGAGGACAGCATGTAAACATTTATTAATTTACCAGGCATGTATTTATTTCAGGATTTCATCATGAGCTGACATTAGCTAGAGAACCATTGGAAAACCTGGGAGTACTGATGAAGAGTCCCAAACTAGGACGAAACAGCTGTCCGGTACTCCCAGGTTTTCCAAGGGTTCTCTAACTAATGTCAGCTCATGATGAAATCCTGAAACCAGTCAAATCCCTACAAACCAACACTTAAATGTATTTATTTATTGGAATGTCAGTGAGTTATTTACTTTCTCTTGTGTTTTCTACTACAACTTTAAGCTGAAATCACCATCTTATTACTTGAACAAATACACATATAGCAAAATCAACTTACTTGTCCTGTAAGTCCTGTAATTCAGCCTGCAAATACTTAGTTTGCAATCTTTGAAAATTAAAGGAAATACATCTCTTAACTATGTCATTTACATCGTGTGTTCAGCTTATTCCCCATAGAGACAAAAATGTCTCCTTGTCAAGTAAATGTTTCTTAATACCCTTAGATTCCACTCTATTCTGTTATGTATGGATTTTATTTGATAGTTCGGAGGATTTCATCATGAGCTGACGTCAGTTGGAGAACCATTGGAAAACCTTCAGGGAGTACTGGACAGCCAACTGTTTCCTCCTATTTCGGGACTCATCAACAGTACTCAAGACCTCCTGGTTATAAGGCGAATTCATAGACCCTTATGCCAGTTAGAGACGTTACCACTGAGTTAGCTATTCAGGCTCGCGATTGACCTCCCATAGGACTTTATTGGATATTTTTGATTGGACACTAATCGGTAACTCGTTTAATGTGTGTGTGTGTGTGCGTCTATTAGTCAAGTTTGCAATGTGGCCACCATGTTAGGTGGCTCGCCATTTGATCAGTGATTATACAATCTTCCATATTTCTGGTATTTGCATTGAGTCATTTCTGTTGCATGCGTTGGGTGTAGACTCGATGAACAAAGATTCCGTCATCAACCACTCTCTCCACCTACCTATATTACTTTTTAGAATTTTAAACCTCTCCCACCCTATTGTGTGGTTGTTTGTTTGTGCGTGGAGTGAAATTGCTGAGCTATTTTCTAAATTACTTATCTTTTCAGGGTCAACCATTCTTTCCTTAGCTAAATTCTTATGTTCTGACCCACCCACCCACCAACCTACTAGTTTTACCTATGTAGTTGACCTTACTCACAGTCATTGCAGGGTATTTTTTAAATTATATTATTTTGTCTAATTGGGTTAACAGGGTCCTTTAACCTACAGAGCTTGTTTCTGAGTGAGTTTGTAGGTTTGAATGTCACCTTCCAGTTATACGGTAGGCTTGTATACCATTCGATCCCTGGGACCCGATTCATTGGCCAATCCATGAACTCTAACTTCTACCAATTCGTGATTTAGCGTAATTGGCACCAAATAATATCATCAGCAGTACATTCCTCCTCACACTTGACTGGATGCATCTCACTCGTTCCCTGACTGATATCAATCAGTGATCAAACTCGTAAACATATATATATATATATATATATATATATATATATACAACTAAAGGTGATATACCAGGTATAATAATAGTCAAAAGGTTAACAGAATCGATTGAAAAAAGGTTTAAGCCAGCAAGATCCAACCCGTTCCGAAAATTCCGAAATTGAAAGACGAAGTAACTAGGCCCTTTAGCTACCTTTAATTGTATCTATCAGTTTAACTGCTCCTGTCAAGCCAGTTTTATTGGTCATTCATCAATCTAGGAACTCAATTATTCGTACTTAGGAATACCTACAAGTGTGATTAAATAAAGCTGTTACTAATACCATCAACAGGTCCAAGTTAATTAGATCCTCTTGTCCAAACAGACCACAAAGCCAGCTAGCCATCTGGTATTAAAGAGGTTTGACCATTATCATCTGTTGAGTATCGAATAAATTATCAAAGGGCTCAAGGTACCAAACTGTCCAAACAGCTGAGGTCTTTGCAAATTGGCGTAAATCAATCGAATCTCTGTGTGAGTTCAACCAGTTACTATTTCTATCTGGACTTACTGTCGAGCCTAGAAATTCATAAATCCTCTGTTACTTCCCTTAATTGTTCTGATATTCAGCCAGCTTAGTTGGCGTTATAATAACGCATATTATATCTATCTTACTGACACTTTTGAAGTGTCATCTGTTGATACTATTGTAACAATGTATTTTAAAGTAGCGCTGATGTCGTTAATAAGACAAATATTGTTAAATTATTGCTTTCAAATAAATGTAGAACCTGACGACGAATTAATTGATGAAGAATATTCTCTATTCGTTAGTGAGTCTATTAGATTTATGAAGAGCACCTTTATTAAGTTACAGTATCAGTACATAAATGTTCTTCACTGTAACTTAAAATCTGCAATGTTTAAAACCAAGTTTTAAAGAACGTCTTAAATATTTGAATAAGGCATTTAGAAGATAAATTTCGCGAGATGATATCTTCATTTCGTAGTTTCTTTACAATCACTTTACAACTAACACAGTTAACAATAAATAATAATAATTTTTCCTTCACGTTCCCAGTGGAACATAGGGCTCCAAGCTAGTGGCTTGAAGTTTCTGTAGAAGTGTTCAATTTTTACAGTATGGGGTTGCTAGCCTTATGCCCAATCTTTCCTCTTTACCAGCATTATTTCTGGCTCAGTGAGGTAAAGGAGTGCGCCGGCCGGGGGTCGAATCCCGGACCATGTGGATGGTCGGCGAGCGTCCTAACCGCTATACCACGGACGCACCAGTTAACAATAATAAAATAAAATAAAGCTCATGACTCAGTTATATAAAAAAGCAAAGTACATACTAATGACCAATCATATTTAAATATATTAGATTCGATGGTGTTACGATGGGGAGCCCTCTTGAGCCCCTGTTAACAGATATGATCACATCGAAATTGAAGAAACAAATGCAAGGTGTGCTTGGAGAATTGATGCAATATAAACGTTATGTAGATGACACACTCATTATTGATAATAATAGTAAGTTTGTCGAAAACTTTATTACTTTATTTAATCATATTCATCCAAATATCCCACTGACTTCCTAACTCGAATCGAATAACAAACTTGATTTCCAAGATATTACAATGACCAGGAGAGATGATTGAATGGTTAAGCGATCTATGTTTCGTAAACAGACAAGGAGCAGACAATATCTTCATTTCACCAGTTTTGTTCCTATGCAGTATAAACGTTCCCTAGTGAGACCGAAAAATATGTACGAGCGAAACATTGGTGGATGAACTTAGACATATACATTCATTTTTATTAGCTAATGGTTATCCAGAAAATTTTATCAATTGTCATGGACAAAATTTAGAAAAGACAGCTTCTGTATCAAAGAAAGATATCTTCATCAAACCACCATTGAAGGGTGACCAAATTATGCAGTTGACACTTCGAAAACTTCAATAAGCCATCAAATGCACATTCTACGCCGCATCTCTTTTTTTTCGTTTGCCTAACATTTTCGATTCCTGTATCCACGATTAAAGGACGGAATTCTGTGGAATCTACTTCAAACTGGATCTACAAGTTCACCTGCAGCTGCAGTGACACCTTTAATTGTAGAACCAACAGAATGTTCCAATGTGGTCGTCAAAAAGAACATGTTTTAAAAGTGGTAACTAATAGAAAATCCAAATCCAATTTTTTTGAAAAGAAATCCAGCATCACCTATTGCAAAACACCTATTCATATCAAATCACAAGGTGAATATTAATGACTGTTTCACAATTATTTCATCACATAACTGTAATTCAAGGTTATTGAAGGTGATGGAAGCACTTTTGGGGATTAATCACATACAGTCTAAACTGTGTGTACAAAAACTAATAGACTTCAACCTTCCTTCGTCTATTAATATATGTGTAAAACTATATGTGTGTAAGTAAATGTAAAAGTCAAATAAATAATGATAATAGTGACAGTAATGATGATAATAATAATAATGATAATAATAATGGTAATAATAATAGTGATAACAATAATATTAATGACGACACCAACAATAAAGAATCTAAATCATCAACAGTAATTCCATACAAGGAAGGAACCTCGGAAGCGTTACGCAGAATACATAACAAGGCAGGAATAAAAGTGGCATTCAAACCCAAAAACCCAATTAGAAACAAGCTTTGTCGGTTAAAGGATAAATCCTGTGGAGCCTTTTAAACAAAACAATTTAGTTTATCTAATACCCTGCCTACAATGATTGTCAGGTCAAATACATAGGTCAGACTGGTAGAACAGGGACATTCAGTCAGACTAGCCGAACATAAAAACCTAGCAGCGAAATCTAAATTGGTTGACCCAAATAAGGTAGGAAATCTAGAAAATAGTTCAGCTATAGCACTAAATGCAGTTACACACAACCATACAATAGGATGGGATAGGATGACAGTTTTAAAATCTAAAGTCACAGGGTATAGGGAGAGATTGATAACAGAAGCTTTGTTTATCAAATCAACTGCAAATACATGTAATAGAAGCGATTCAACACCTGTCTCAGATATATCGAAAATTCTACCGCCCATACGACAAATAGGAAAAAACAAAGAAAACTTTAAAACTCAAATCTCAAAGTCGTGTGACCACAATCGGTATGGTTAGGAACAATAAATTGTGTTCGAAACGTCATCCAGTATACAATACTGTTTCACTGTGTAATACATCTAATAAACAAACTAATATGGAATTATTTCCTTCGTCTACCATGGACTACGTGACCTATTTAAATATGATTGGTCATTAGTATGTACTTTTGTTGTTCATATAACTGAGTCATGAATGTTATTGTATTTTATTATTGTTGTTAGCCATGTTAGTAGTTGTAAAGCGGTTGTAAAGAAACTACGAAATGACGATATCATCTCGCGAAATTTATCTTCTAAATGCCTTGTTCAAATTTATCAAAAGGACTAATTGTTTTGATCTTAAATATTGGTAAAGTATTCATTTAGACATTTAGAAATAAAATTGAACGGAGAATATCCTTTCCGGTAATTTCCTTCTCCGGCCCTACAATTACATATGCATGTTTATATACATAGAATATTCTAGAATAATAGTGAATCACAATATTGGTGTGGTTTTTAAATACTATCGACTTGTTAAGATCAATGAGAGTGCAGTTAAAGAAAGACGCCTAAGTTATTCTAAGCATAAAAATGTAATAGCAAATAGAATATCAAATAAAATTAAGGAAATTTCTACAACAAATTAAAGGTGGGCTAAATTCTTGATGGCCAAGATAAAGACAGTGTCTGAACCAGCCAACTTCTTTTGGATACATAAGTTAGGCTTCTTAATGTGGATCGCAACAGCCAACCTCAGCAATATGTAATAGGCGAACTCTTAAGGTAAAGTTAAGATTAATTGGTATGCAGTAGACGACTTTGAAAGCCTCGTGAACATCAGTTTTGTGATCTGTCTCTACGAGATGATATAGAATACAGCTGTGAGTGAATTCTATTCGTTTCTTACTGAGGTTCAGAAATCCGACGAGAAACACGCCAAATTGTACAGCCTTTATAATTGACTTACTCCACAGGAGCATTCAAACTGGCAGATAAACATAGAAAAGGCGAAATTTCAGGCAGTTTATCTTTTAATTCCGAACGCAAATTAGGGGGTGGTTATGAAGACACAGCATAGTTTAGCAGTATTGAGTGCTCCTTTTATCGTATTCCTTTGGAGTTGTGTTAATATCTCACTGGTTTTATCCCCGAGGAGCTGAAGGTTTATGAATAAGACCTTTTTCGGAACTGTGGGTACTTTGGCCTCCCCCCGGGCTTTTCATTAACATGCTTATCGATGATTCTTTTTGGATTACAGTTCTCGCTCAGTAAGCTGTTTAATAATATTAAGGTTTTCATTAAGACATTTATCAGAGCATACTGCTCTTATTTTGTGTTGGAGCAAGCATTTCATTAGACGGGCTTTGGATTTCAGTGAAACGAAGCTGAAAAAATGAGTATACTGACCAGTTGAACTAGGCTTTCTATATACACGTTTTCTTATTGTACCGTTCTTTTTTTTTCTATTCATGAGGACATCTAGGAATGAAATACTAGAGTCTCTTTCTTTCTCTGTGATAAAATGTACGACAGGATGAACATCGTAAAATTTGTCAACGAGAATGTTCTTTGCTTCATCTTCATCTTTTATAATCAAAATTGTATCATCCATGTACCGAGGGTAGAATTCTAATTCATCAATTATATCTTTCAAAGGTCCATTTCTCTAGTTTTGCAAAGATGTAAAGATTCACATATGTTAGGGGTGAACTATAATAGACTTGAAACTTAAGTTCGCACACACAATGATCCCTAAATACAACTGTCATATATATAAGAAAATGAAAGCCAATGAAAGGAACAACTGATAGTTTCTATATTTATCATAGCTGTTCAGTTTATCTATTGCAATTGATAGGTAGCGCAACCAAAACTAGTTTTAAATGTTACATTTCAATAGTGCCTTAATCATTATCATCATTTTCTTTTGTTTTTTCAACAGGTTTAATTCAAATAGACATGAATGAACTTTAAAGGCGTACTGGATGGTTAAGAAATTTCACACCTGAAATTGTGCCTTAAATCCAGGCTCATCCCAGCAAGGAAATACACGTCTAGCATCCGTTGGTTGAAGTTGACTAGTTGCTAAATATCTGTAATCCAAGAAGAAGAAAAAAAAGAAAAGACGAAGGAAAATTTATATGTATAACAATAAAAAAAAGTAAATCGTCGTTGTTATTACTATTAGTGGTAAAAAGATTATATTTATTAAGGATTGATAAAGTCAATTTCTCATAGGCAGGAGATGATATGCATTACTGCAACACAAATTTGAAGCCATTTGTCTTCTAAGCCACACACACACACACACAATTGTAGGTTATGCAAAATACCTGTGGTTCACTATAAAACTGATTACATATAGAAATATATACAATGCATAGAGCATTTTAGCTCTAATCATAATGAAACCAAAATCTGGGTATATAATTGTTAATGATACAGCTGCATTCATTAAAGTAAGAGATTTGAGTTATTTTGTAAGGATTAAATTTGTGTTTACTAGTTTGATCACGGTTGACCAGCTCTTGAAAATTAATCTAATCCTCGCTAGTGACTTACTACAAACCTCAGTTTCCTGGAGCTCTAGTGAGAAGTACTGACCAGTGAGGTCAATCCAGATGTCACGTGTGAGGATGTACGTCCCACCACCGATGACATTGGTTGGTATCACGCTATATCAAGAAATGGTAGGAGTTAGAATTCATGGTCTGGCCAATGAATTGGGTCCCAGTGGCTGAATGGTATACGAGCTTGCCTTGTAACCGGAAGGTCCTGGGTTCAAACTCTGTCAATGGGTGTGTACTGGTAATGATTCTTAAGCACTAGGATGAAACAGCTGTCCAGTACTCCAGTGTTGGTTTCCATTGGTTCTCTTACTGATATCACTCTGTGATCAAACTCGTAAACACTAAGAATATCGCTAAAATAACAACTAGGATACTAGAACTGTTTGAAATGGACATAGAGGAAAATCCAACATGCACTCAGTATTGTGCAAACCGAAGGATCCAACAGCGAAACAATATAAGACCGATAGGATTTACATAATCAATTGCATAAACTGGGGCAAACATTACATCGGTCAATGGCAGCGTTCCCTACGAATCAGAATCTAACCGCATAAGTTAATTGCTAAAAGGATGCAATATCTTTTCTTTCATATCTATGCATACAAACAATTATGGACATCAATTCGATCGACGAAAAGTAGAAATTTGAAATAGAGGGAGGGAACACCAGGAATGCCAAAGAATTTTTAGAGGCCTGGTATTCAGATGAATCGGAGATTAATCGATACACTACTATAGATCGAATTCACTAACTAATTAAAAACTAAATCCCATAACAAGAAAGTCTAAATTTCAAGTGAATAGAAGTAATCAGTAAAGACGAAGAAATAAAAACAACCGACCACAACAAAGGAGGTTGTCAGGATATACAATTGTATCGTTCATGGAGAGAATTCAAACAAGTTCACTTCGTATTAAAGCTTTCGCTGTGAATGTTGTGTAGAAGGGGGACAATCATAGCCTCTCAGTTAAATCAGTCAATTCAGAGAACACATCCAAATCAAAATCATTCACCTAAGCTACAAATCTTTCACTCCAAACAAACTTATAATTAGTGAGTTAGGAGCCAGTTAGTTGGAGCGCACACGTAGTGTGCGGGTTGCTGCAGTTGAAGTAGGTGTTGCGAAATACCACCTCTGAGCTCACTGACAGACAGCTGACCGCTTAAGATAACGATTCATATCTGCACCAAGATTACCGATATATATATGGACTTTTTACATTGTAAATTATTGAAATCGAAAATAAACAGTGAGAATAAACCTGAGAGTAATACTAAATTAAAAGTCGAATAAAATGACATTGAAAGGTAACGTGATAACTTCAAATGGTTATTTTGCGCCTTCAGGACTTCTTCTGGCCTATGCAGGTGTGGTATAATGACGGTGACAGGCGAACATTTGCTGATTATTCCGTAAGGTCTCTGCTATAGAAAAACAGACCTACTGATCTCATCTTGTATAAAATACGGTCTACGTAGTCAAACACGGTCAACCGGCATATATGTATTTCCACAGATTAATGGACCATAGTTGGTTTTCTGATGGTCACTCCACAGACTGTGCATGTTCGCTTATTATGTTCTCACGAAGCTTCTGTAGGTGTGCAGTGTATTCCATAGTCTCGTAGGGAAGACCAAACAGAAGATGAGTCCGGGAGAAAACGGTCAAAGAATGCGTGAGTGGATACCCGGAATGCGAGTAAGCATTGTGACAGAAATTAATCCCAACAGTCCATTGCTGAGTGACTGACCAAAATACATAGGATTGCTTTATATGTTTATTTTGTATACTATACCAGACCATTCTCATGCGGATGATACAGGGTGATGTGAGTCTTCCAAATTCTGAACATAGAACAAGCCTGGGCTGTCAGTAAACTTTCAAATGCCTGTTCTTGATCAAAGTGTCAGGTCAGTGTGGCTCTATACCGTTCTACTTATGTGTTGGAGAATACGCCCCCCGTAGTAGTAGCATCTTAATGTGAAACTGGCCCGGCTTCACATCACTTGATAAATTAGAGCGAGGTATATAGGTCGTTCGATGCGAGTTTTATCTAAAAGAGTTCAAGAACACTATCCCGCTTGGCTACGGAAAGGTAACAATCGAGCAATAAGGAGCGCCATTATTGAGCATATACTCAACACTGGTCATTCGATTTGCAAGGAGAAGTCATTCAAAGTCATCTATAAAGTCGAAAGAAGCCTTCCAAAATCGACAAGCTTCCGTATACTTTGTATTGCCGAAGCCTTAGCGATTTGGATGGAAAAGCCTGAATTACGCACACAGAAGAAACTTCTCCACCCCCTCCTACTACCGTGGGTTTAATTTCAAGTTCATCTGTCATCAACATTTTGTTATCAAAATTTTTTTGCAATATTCGTATAATAATTTTTTAGTAACTAACCCATTCAATCTTATCACCTATTATCTAGTATATTTTCATAATTGTCTCTATACTCCTTCACGAACATCTAATCTTTCTAAACATGTCTATATTACGTAACCCTACTCACATCTTACCAATTTTCACCCCACTTAGTTACAATTCTGATTATTAATCACACATTTTAATTTCTATATTATTTTGATGACGTAACCCTACTCACATCTTACCAATCCCCACCCCGCTTAGTTACAACTTTGATTACTATTCACACAATTTAATTTCTTTATTATTTTGATGATGTAATCAACAACCCACACTAACTGTTATTTTGATTTTGACAAACCTTATGTACACACACACAAAATTAATTGTATATATTTGCGACTGTACAGCTAAGAGAATGAATTCGCCGAAAAGAGACTCTTCGCTGAACTAATTTGTTCTTATTTCAATGTCTTGATGGGTATTTTTCGCGAAATTAGTTGACCACGACGAAAATATATCGATTACTATTTTTTGTTGTTGGTGACAGTCCCATGACGTCATTGCCAATATGTTTATGTGGTCATGTCGTTGGCATTAGGATCATCGGTGCGCAGGCTTAATGAGTTGGGGATTTGAGGCATGCAGACTTCTTAGCGCTACCAGTAGCTGGTGAGCTTTTACTGACAGTCTTGGTTGGCAGTTGCCTTCTTGCGGCCTTTCTGTCGGTAGGTGTGCGAACAATCTGCTTTGTATGGGCCATAATGAAACACATAGAGATGATGTTATTGTTTATAGAATTCGTAATTGTTCGAAGGGCACTTGTTAACCTGTCTTAGAACAAATACTTCTTTAACCAGAAATATTATTCGCTTTCCTTTGCATAAACATGTATATACACACATTGAAGATTCTTTAAAAATGATTACACTAGTGTTTAATGAAAGGCCTCATACTGAAATGTTTAAGTGGGGAGCTTCGACTCTTCCTAATAAAATTTCGAGGGCATCACATTCCTGTACAAATTTCATATTCATGCATTTATGATTTACCTGAAGGATACCCAAATGAAGTGAACGTAATACTCACATTTACATTTGAAAGTCCAATTTTTGAAAGTCTGGGAGTACTGGGCAGTTGTTTCGTCCTGGTTTGGAACTCTTCATCAGTACGCCCTCTCCGCCAGGGTTCGAATTCATGACCTTCCGATTAAAAGGCAATAATAGGATGCTCTCTAGTGATTGACTGTATACGGGAATTTATCTGGAGGTCTAGTGAGATGTTGTAACCGGGTCAGTCCATCAAGTCAAGTAAGAGACCAGTTACTCGTATTTGACACGGGCTGGTGATTGTGCCGTACGCATATATCGAGAATCTACAGATGTGAGAATCCATGGACTCACCACTGAGTCGTGTCTCATTGAATGAATGGTCTACGAGCTCTTTTTGTCACAGCAAGCACCTGGATTTAAAATCCAGAAAGTTCTTACTGATGAAGAGTCCTATTCTAGGACTCCACAGTTGTGGTTCTGTAGCTGTAGTCACCTCATGAACAAACCTGTAACCCATTAAATTCATGCAAATTAATCCATAATAGGATAACTTTAGCTCTGCAATAATAATTAAAATGGGTTAACAGAAAAGTAGAAAATTGAGTATAACATCAACATACTTGTAGGTCCCATTTTCCAAATATTTACTTAAATACCATCCTTTTAATTGTTCAATTAAAGGTGAACGAAACTGTCCAAATTGTAATTGATAAAATGTATACGGTTGAAGTGAATGCACCAACTCTATCCGATACCATTCAAAGTCTCTTTCATAAGATACATTTTTCAAGGTAATTTCTTCAACTGTTTCATTGTCTTTATTTAAAGCAAACATCTGAGTCAATTAAAAACAAAAAAGAAAAAAGAAATGAATTAGTACAGTTTTATATACTGCTGTAAATAGTATCACAGTTTTTAATCATGAAAAAACAATTGAAAAATAACAAGTTTGATGATATTAGATGGTTGGAGGCAATCGGCCACGAGCTAGTTGGCACTCACTTGATCAGCAAGGCGTATCTGCAAACCTGCTTGAATGACCTCATGTCTCTTCTGAAACTCCTCGAATTCGTGTCAACCGGTGAAAACTGCAGTCAGAGACGTCACCAATGAGCTAGCTATTCGTGCCACCTAGAATGGTGGGCACATTGCATAGTTGGCTGACTGATAGAATTCAGTCTTCACCAAACAAAAAGACTAAACACATCACACTAGTTAGTGGTGTCGAATCAAAATAACAATTTTGTTAAAAACCACGTGAGAACAAATTTATTTTAAATTTCAAAAGACTGATTACTGAACATATCAGACAAATTAGGGAAATAATAATAAAGAATTCATGAATTTATAGACTCGATGAAAGACTAGACAGGGTAGTAGTAGTGGTTGAACCTGCCTCTTCTGCACACAGAGCACTGGTTTTATTATAGGGATAGCAACAGCCTCTTGTGGTTCGAGTCTTCGGTACATGGATGCTTTTAGCAATTTATCAGTATCCGACAGATGATGATAGAGAAGGATTCTTCATGGCTAACTTTGTGGTCAGTTTGAACCAGGTGGTGATGGTGGAGTGCTATTGCGTTTCCAGCCTCGCATATGCCAGTTTACGCCATCTCTGGCGTAGACATGATTTCCGGCTATCGACCGGAGGGCGTGTGTACTGCTCAGCAGTCCACTCAGTCCTCTTTTATGGCTGTGACACCTGGCCATTGGGAGTGGAACACATGAAAAGATTAGCTGTCTTCGATACCAGGTGCCTGCGCACTATCTCCCGTGTGAAGTGGTATAATAAGGTGAGCAATATCGAGGTTACGCGTCCAGTTCTAGGTAAGGCGGGGAAATCAATCGACGACGCCGTGGAATTACATCGACTGAGATGGTTAGGACGTGTGTTAGGTATGCTTAGTCATCGCCTACCTCGACCCAAGGGCAGTGTTAGCTGACATAGGGTCAGGTTGGAAAAGAGCTAGCGGCGGTCAAACCAAAACATGGCACTAGTCAGTGGAATACACAACAGTTAGTTTCAGTCACGTAGGAAGGTGTAGACTTCTTGGCTGGTTGGGGTCCTCGGGACGGTAAAAACCAACGAAGGCTAGAGACAATTGGTGATATGGCTCAAAATTGTTCTCAATGGCGCAGATGCATTCACTCCCTGTGACTTATGATTTCCAATGAAACTATATTGTTCTTCGTTATTACTATTCCTTTGTCTCACACCTCTGGTTACTGTCTCTGCTATGCATTTCTTCTATTTGTTATTCCTCCATTGAAAGTTAAAGTACGTAGACTAGCCACTTCTAATTGTATCTACCAATTCAAGTGTAAAAGTCGTGGAGCGAGTTATATTGGCGATGCTTGAAGAATTTGAATTTTTGTTCACGAAGACATCTAGCAGTGTGATTAAAAAAAGATGTAATAAAAACCGTAAATCATTCGATATTAGATCACCTGTTACAAACCGGCTACAATAAACCTGCTCCATCATCAACATCATCTATCGTGTACCAAACAACTTGCCAAAAACATCCAGGTACAGAAGACTCCAAACAACATAGGCTACTGTCGTCCATGGTCAACAACCGGTGCTTTATATGCAGAAGAAACAGTTACAGCCACTATTACTCCCCTGAACTTAAAGTTACTGCCTATTTAGATGTAAAGTTTATTGTCTTTCATGATTCCTTTTACTTGTCTGTACCTGTGCGAAGAAAACCCAAGAAGCCTGAAAGAAGACTGAAGGAAGGAAGCACTTCAAGTGAACATAGTGAAGATAGAGATGATGAGGATAACCAACCGACAACGATAACATGTACTAATCATTATCTAATGTAGAAATTTGAGAGAGCTCTCTTCCTTTTTACTTTTCTAACCAGGCAGCATCCTTTGCAAGTAGAAAATTAATTCCAACTCTTTTACATCCCCATCTAAACTACTTTTTTTATTCATCAGTGAGGCAAAATGACTTTAAAATTTTCGGCTTGAGTAAATTGTATCAGAAGTACTTTACACATTATATGACGCATAACGAATAAAATTGCCGGTTCATTTAAAGGACAATGTATGTTATACATTTGAGGCCTTGAAAGTTGAATGACACATAAACTTAGAGTTTGAATTTTAATTAATTCTTTTTTCTACAGCATTCAGAATCATAAAATGGTGATGCAGTTAACAGATAAACAATTTGTTCTCTTGGGGTATTTATGCAAACAGTGGATAAGCATAAATAAAATTCACATTTGCAAAATTTATAGAAATGACTTGGTCAGTATTTGCAAATCCATATTGTAACAACAGAAGACAAGGGCTGGCAACAGATGGTTTTATTACGAAAATCAACACGTATTTATATATATTTTATGTACATTAATAAGGCTTATGCAAGCAGAAAAAGGCAGTCTTCTGATTGGTTGTTTCACGGAAGTTAAGCAGACAAACACAGTCTTGTGATTGGTTGTTTTCGATATTTCTCGGAAAGTAGAGCCATCTATCTGAGAATCATATTTGTCCACGTTTAAGTTTGCTGTGATTGGTTGTTGAAACAGCCTAATTCATATTTTCTCACGGCCCATATTAGTGACCTAGACATTAACGTAGATTAGTGTCAACCAATCGGCTAGCAGCCTACTCTCACCACAATATCACTTTGTTTAGTAGATATATCACACACAGTAAAACAGTATTATTTACTGGATGACAAACTCCTGAACACAATTTATCATTCTTCATAATCATTTCATCAAGGTGTTACTACACAACTTCTAGACCGTCGATTTTTAGTTCACTTTATTCCCTCCTATCCGTCGTCGTAGGGGTAGTAGAATTTTCTAGATGTCAGGCTGGACCGGCCTTGAATCATTCCTATTACACGTACTTTCAGCTGATTCGATAAATAAAGCCTCCGCCACCAATCTGTCATGTTGTTCTATACTACTGTGTAGTTCTATATAATTTTGATGTGGTGTCATAGCTGGACTATTCTTTGGATTTCTTATCTTATTAGGGTTTACTGATCTAAATTTTGCTCGGCTTTGTGCTCCGCTAGCCTGAGTGATCCTTTTCGAGTATTATGATTTATTTGTATGTGACCAGACAATCATTGCAGAGTATGATATAAAGTAGATTATTTTGTTTAATGGACTCCACAAGATCCTTAAACCGACATATAATCTGTTTCTAAGTGACTTTGTGTACAATTATTCCTTTGGCTTACAACTGGAACAAAAAGCTTCAACAACACACCTCTACTTTGTCTTTTTCACTTAAGTCCTCTTCAACGGTTTCCATGCTTGCACATAGGCTCCTATCTGTTCCTTACAGGATTTTCCCCATTTCTCACACTGACACTCAACTCATTGTTTCTAATTCAGGTTTCACTCGTGAGATGGCTTAGCACGATGTAACGTAATAGTCTCTTCAGTGTGCGTTCGATAAATCTCCTTTCACTTCGGAATATTCTCTGGGCAATAGGTTATTGTTCGGTTCTTTCCCGTGGTTCCCCGCTGCTACATCTTTTCTAACCTGCTACCTGATCTTCAGTAATTAGCCAAAAACGGCAGCTGTTGATAAAAGTCTCTTTGGTGGCCTGCTGGAAATGCTTTTGGTGACTTTTGTGGTAAGTTTGTGACCCAACTAGAAGAATTGAATAACTTATTATTAGCGTCGAAAATCCGAATTGTGTTTTTAACATCCTCATACATGGTGTCACCTGTAATTGAAACGATTTCGCCTGGTCAGATATGTGGAAAAAAAGTGACCTCTTTCAAATTTCTCCCGTTTATGGTGACCAACGCTTCTATTTGTTGGGGGAGGTGTAGTTGGGTATCTTTATCACCTCCGTCTTTCTTGTGTTCATCGGAAATCCAGTCTTCACTGCTTCCTCTGAAAACTTCTTGACTTCCGCATGTAGATTTTCGAGTTTGTGTGACATTGGACGTGAATCATTTGTGATTTTCAAACCTTCTCGGAATACATAACATTTACACAGAAGAAAAGTTTCCAAATCAAAGACCCTCGTACAGCTGATGAATCAATGTAGAATTCAATACAAAATCTATTTAAAAGAATCTACACCATTTCTTCAAAGAAAAATAAAGTCTACTTCCAAATGTTGGTTTGTAGGGATTTGATTGGTTACAGGGTTTCATCATGAGCTGACATTGGTTGGAGAAAAATTGGAAAACCTGGGAGTACTGGACAGCTGTTTCCTCCGATTTTAGGGCCCTTCCTCGGTACACACCCATTGGGATACGAATCCAAGATTTTCTGGTTACAAGGCGAGCTCGTACATCATAAATCTACTGGGACTTGATCCAATCGCCAATCCAATGTAACCAGAGGGTCCTGGGTTCGAATCCCGTTGGGTGCGTACTGATGAAAAGTCCCAAACTAGGACGAAACAGCTGTTCAGTGCTTCCAGGTTTTTCAAAAGTTCTCTAACAAATGTCAGCTCATGATGAAATCCTAAAGTCTACTTCCGTTGTTAACAGCGTCCGTTTTATGAAAACGGATTAGCTTCAGGTACCGTGAATAGTCAAACTATGCATAAAAATGCCGCCTTTACTAGATATGGAATAGCATTCCCCGGAATGCGAGTCGATGTTTTCATAAACAGTTCACTAAATCATAATCGCTTTACGCCACCATTTTTTTCATCTTCACAACTACTTTCATTTTAAAAATCAGTTGGGCATTGTCAACCAAAATGTGGTAAGCACTTTTCATTACTTAAACATTCATACACATATCAAATTCAACAGTATTCACTCGTCTCTTACTTTGGTTGAATTTATTCATATGACGATGTGGAGCTACACCATAAACACAAGCTGTATC